GTTATGGTTCTCAATTTCTCGTACGCGAGCAGAATCAATAGCGTTAATGACATTCTGTTTACCAGTTAACCTGAACTTAATACTTGAAGAGATGTGTTCCTGTGATTTGCAGTGTCTATATCCAATCCGCGAGACAAATTTTTCAAATCATTATATCCTAATCGCCCCCAACATGATGACTTATCGGTTGAAAATAATACGCAGTAGGTACCAGAGATAACGAAAGATTTTGTTTGTTACCTGTTACAATAAAATTTTTTTAATTCCGGTGTCGGACGTTTGTTTTTCACAATCAAGACAAAGCACTGAATGGGTTCACCAGAAAGTATTCCACTAAATCGCAATCGTTTAAAACACCCATTTTTCAGAAATTTATAGAGCCCCTAACCATGCATTAACCTAACATAAACATAAATAGTGCACTCGCCCTCGTTTGTCCGCAATTCGCGACGCGACACGCTGACATGCTGAGAAACACGTGCTATTCGGGCATTTGCATTGCGCGCGTGGGTTGCGCTTTGTGAAGGAGTCTAGCCTCCTATAGATGTTGACAAGTTGAATATTTTATGCGTGATTTGCTGTGTGAACTGGACTTTATTGTGGTGGGGAGTGGGCACTGGCAGAGTTTAAGGAAATACCCATTCTTCAAATCATTGATCTAAATATGCTCAAACTGTAGCACTAGGCGATAGGGCAATAGATTATCAGTCTCTGAAATCAGTTTTCATAATTTGTCTAATAAGGAAAGTAGGTACTGCACCTGTACCCTCTACTGTATCTCATCAATGAAACATTCTAGTTCTCCCTTTCCAAACTCATACCTATTTTCTGAATGAAATAACTTTTGACATATATTCAGCAATTGTCTTGTCTTATTGTGTACAGGAATAAAAAAATTCAACAAAAACAGCGAAATGTGTTTAATTCATTTAAAATTGTACTAATATCTCTATAACAGCCTCAGTAACAGAATTACATGAAGTTTAAAAAATAGATTCAGGATTAGACATCACTTTGAATTATAAATAATAGAGGGAAATAGAAGTAACAAAATATATAAAAAAATACTCTGTATTTGAACTTGCATCAATAAACAATACCTTTTAAATGTTCATAAGCTGTATTCATAACCCCCCAACTGAGGAATGCTCTAGTGCAGTTGGCATGTATGCCACGGTAAATGTATTGAATTTTACCACCCCTTTCTTTGTAAATCCTCAGAAAAACCTTCAAAGGATTGTCATATGATCCACCTACTTTGCATTGCATCCCAATCTTTAATACATTCAAAGGATAAAAAATGCTGGACAAAAGGACACCAATAATAGCTCCACACAAAAATTCAGCAGAAGTCCTTAAAAGTTCATTATTATATTGTGGTAAACGAGAGTGGACCTCTTCTCTCATTATAAAAAACCCTACATTTGATGGACCATTTCTAAGTAGAATAGGTACCAAACCCCTATAGTATTCACCATACCCATACATTTTCAATGCTCTGAATGTATGAATTGTGTTTCTGTAGTCATTGTGATATTTTGAATCTGCAAGAAGAGTCTGCACTCTTTCAAAAGGCATCAATACAGCTTCTGTGGAACCTGATACCATAGCACCAATAGCTTTTGCCACATAACTATTACATCCATTATCTACCAAGATGCTTCTCACTTCATCATAAACTCCAAACATGATAGACAATGATAATGTTTTCTGACAGAGAGGTGGTAACATACCCCTATATAAATAGAACAGGCCTTCATTCTTAAGTTGTGAGAATGCATTGTGAGCATCAACTCCATGAAGCATCTGAAAGTTGTTCACTTATCTGTATATAAAAGCTTCATTAACATGTCATAAGTACCTGTCGAAAAATCAGCTTATTGATGGGATATGTAACAGAAACGTTGATAAATGCAGCTCCCCATCCACATGCAAATTCTCTCCAGTTTATTGTATGTGATAATATCAAATCATTACTATTCATTTTTGGTTAACCTACAATATTGTCAAACATTTTGTGTATTATATAACTCATTGCATTGATAAAAAAGCATTCAGCTTACCACATTCATTTACTAGTTGATTACTAAATCCTACTTAACATTAAACCAATAAACTCATTGGGACCCATTCTTTCATTTCATGTACTTATCGAAAATTCCAGTTTGATAATGTTCACCACACCAGCGTTTTTCCTCATTCTATATGGTATTGAAAACTGTTATTCCATATTGATAAATTAAATAAACTAGAGGAACTAAGAAACTCAGGAACTAGTAGAATCCATGATTATTGAAATTTGTAAAATATTTTAAAAATATAAAATTGATTTAAAAATTGACGTGACATGCTGATTGCTGATTGGAGTGATAGGTGACATTTTGGGTGACATTGACATGATAGATGTTGCCGGTGTTGAAGAAACAAATAGCGCAATTCTGCCAACATAAAAGCGCTGAACTTAATAATACCAAGGTTGGTAGAACTGATTATCCTCTACAAAATAATCGTCAGTTCTACCAACCTTAAATAAATACTTTCGTCTTTACTTGTTTCCGAGTTTATATTGCCTGTGCATAAATAATGCATTAAATATCGAAAATCGAATATTTCATCACTAGAATTGCACCAGCAATAAGAATTGCCGCAATTAAAATGGAAAATAGGTCCGGACCACGTCCAGGACCCTTTCCTGAACAAGGAATTGCGACAGTTCAGAATGACACTAGTGAGTACGCGCGCAATGAAAATTGCTGCAGTTGTAGTGGAAAATTGCTAACTGTACAGTGGCTATTTACGAGTAGCAAAAAGCGCAATTCTTCCGACCAAACGCAATGGCGCAAAGCGAAGTGGGAAAGTGCAATGATTGCCCTTTCTGCGCCTTATTGGCAACACTGGTTCTATCCGTTTTCTACCGGGCTGGAATTGCACTCAGTGTAAATCCATCAATCTACTGAACGCCCAAAACAATGATAGTTGAATATCTAGATTGTCTGATTCATTATACATGACTGTCCAATCAGTGTTATTTTTGTCATTTCTTTTATAATAAATCTATCACTATTTCACGGAGGTTGTTATGTTGTCTGCTTGTTTGTATTGCTGAACTTGCCAAAGTTGATTTTTTCTCATAGTTGTCTCCATTCATGGCATGTCAAGATTTGACATATAAAAACCAGAATAAGTGGGATCGTTTTCCTTGGAATCCGAAATGGAACCAAAAATAATTTCATAATTTTGTTTGGTGAAACTGTTATTATATTGTGGATGTGGCATGGATGACCAGAGCTATGCTTATCAGAGGTAACCTAACAAATAGTTTGTGTCCCCCTCAAGAAACCCTGTCAAAATCACGTGTTCTAGAATGGTCAGCTCAGCAAATGACGACTACATATCTAGACTGCCTGGACTGACGGGTCTAGATATTTAGCCGTCATTTTTTGGGGGCCTTTTCAATGACGGCTAGATATCTGGACTTCAATCAATGAAATTATTGAACATGTCCTTACCTATTCACGAAATGACGAAGATGAATACCACTTGAATGGCATTATTATTTGTGCATATAATAGCGTTATTTGTTGGCCTCTTCACATTTTCACTTGGTATCTCGAACAAAGCTCTCCGATCTCGAGTGACAATGAGTGACAGGCTGACAGTGAGAAAATTTGTCAACAAATAATGCAGGTTATGTTGAATAGCTCATTTGACACAGGAAATAGATGACGCCACTTGCCGTCCCTTCAAAATATTTTCGCTGAATGAACACTTGAACAGTCATGTATAACCCGTCAGACAAACGTCAGACAGTCCAGATATTTAGCCGTCATTGGCCTTTTGAATGGGCTTATATCACAAAAAAATTTTATTTCATAATTCGATAGAACTCACCCAAACTAGCTCACCACCGCAAACCGTTTCTTGCTGTGAGCTCCCTACGTTTTATAAAAAATTATTGAAATCCCCGATTTTTCGGACCTCTGAAAACGAGGCGATGATGTGACGTCGAAACCCTAATACTGAAACAAGACTATTCCAGACAGAGATGAATGATACATGATTTCTGACAAATCAATTCTAACCTAGATTGACTTTTTGCAGCTCCATGTGAAACGGGTCAACAAAGCAATGTTGCTATGTTTATGAAATATATTGGATTATTGTGAAATTGTAATGGTGCAAATGGTTTTGAGATTGAGACATTTCGTTGTCTAGAGATTGTTTATACTCCAATGATTCAACCTACAATCGACAACTCGAATATATTTTTCGGCAGTAGTGGTAGTGGATATCAAAAGATATTTCAATATCGATTTCGATTTCTCGGATATTTTGTTTGGATGATATGGCAACAGTCAGGAGAGTGTCAGTTTCAACCATATATCTACTATTTCTATATATGGCGCATCGCCTATACGATATCACAACAAAAATGGGATTGAATCTATGAGAACGAAAAGTGAAGGATGGAAACAGCCATATTGGTTTGACAAATTTCCTATTATTTTTTCCCAACGTCGGTATCAACGCCTATTGGTCGATTTCATTACCTATACAGAAATGGGTCCCGCTTTGAGGAGAGCTATGATTCATATATCAGTAGTAGATATATATGGTTTATATATATATATATGGCGAGATGGGGTTTCTACGTCATAAGAGGGTCTCCGTTTTCAGAAGGTACTATCATTTATGTCCAAAAATAAAACATTCCAGTTAATTTTTCGATCGAATTATGTCGTCAATCATTATTTATGTATAAAAGGATCATTATAAACATGGTTTGAGTTAAAAGTTCTACTAAGGTGTACACGCCCATTTTGATTAGTTTGATTTGTTTGATTCCATATCCATATCCCATTATCCATTCCATTTTATAATTTGATTCTTTGATAAAGTTGTTTGGTGTTTATTTGTATCAATTGTATCCAAATTCAATTACAAAAACTCTCAATGAAACAAAGAATTATTATTATTTATAAATAATATATTATATATGTAAATCGTGGATATAAACTACATCGCTTTTGTTGCAATGGAAAAAAAGTAATGACTCAGATTATGAGTAAGTTATTTCCTAAAGGATTATACCACTACATATTTCTTTCCTAATAATAGGAGTTGTGATAGAGTTCATTGTTCATAAAAGTAAAATTTTCACAAAATGATTATTACCGTCACCACTATTTTTGAAATAATCACATCCACTGTAATTGAAATGTTTCAGGTAATAACAAACAAGGACTTAATTTCGAGGTAATATCAGCAAAAATATCTGATGATGATGAGAAGAAATATGTTATATATACTCTGCAAATTAGATTTATTGCTGGTGTTGATGATGCTAACCCTTCAATCATCCAGAGGAGATACACCCACTTCCTAGATCTCTATAATGGTCTGAAGAAAGAACATCCCAATTTAATGACCAACATTTCATTTCCAAACAAGGCTCTTTTTGGGAATTTTGATAATGATTTAATAACAACAAGAAGTACTGAGTTTGAATCACTCATGAAATATATAGGTTCTGAGAGTCAACTCAAAAATTCTAATTCTCTTAGAAATTTTCTACAAGATATTGAGCTGAAGGTAGCCATGGAATTGTTGCAAGCCAAGGACTATCCTCTTGCCTACCCCTTACTAGAGAACATTCTGAAATTATTGAACAAGGTAAGATTGTATTTCAGATTGTGAAACTGGAATCAGCTGATCTGTGAATGATTATTAATTACTTCTAGGTATACACTGATAGATCACCTGCAGTGATTGTAGGACTTGTCAGGTTATTAGCATGTGCCATAGCCATTCCAGGAATGCCTGATGCATTAAAGTGGGCTGACCTGGCTATCCACAGATTTGAGGGTATTAGTGATAGTGACCTATTAGAATTATATGTGCCCCTGTTGCAAACTTGTATTAAGTTGTGGAGAACAAATGGCAGGAGCACTGAAAGTATGGAGCAGAGTATATTGAATTTTCAGAAACAGGGTGTGAAAATAGAAGGTGTTTCACTCTTGCAGTCTGTGCAAAATGTAGAAGAGAAGATTTTGAAGTCACCTTGATATCTTAAATAAATGATCATATTAGAACTGGATATTACAGAAAAAAGTGTTGAAGGGTAGAAATAATGATTTTAAGAAATGTTGAATCTTAAGTGGTGACACAATTAATGGAAGCTTCAAATACCTATATACCATACCATAAGATCAATTAGCTTTGCATAAAACTATGTATTGAGTGCATTTTGATTTGATTTGATTTAATGATATTGTGTTAACTGAGTGTTAACTATCCTAGGAGTTGATAGGATGATGGGTATATATTCCTTATTAAAATGTTGAGATTGGTAATTCATTTATGAAATTAATTTTCAAAGACTAACTTCAAGAACTTATATTTATATATTATACATATAATTATAAAAATTATGAATACCTACCTCTGGGCCTCTTTTTTTATAAAATGTAGAGATTTTGAATGCAACTTCATTAAACCCTCATTTCAGAAAGTGATCTCATGATAAGTAAATCATTGCAGTATCCCTGAAGTGGGTACCTATACATGAGGATGCCTATAAATACATCTCATTTTCACTATGCCCACTGTGATCATTTGTGTTTCAATCTGGCAATGAGGTTTGGGAATGGTTCGAAAACTTTAGGCTCTCGTATCGTGCACGCCACTGCAAACAAGTGTGGTGTCATTATGACGTAGTTGCCTCCCACCACCACAACACCTTCAAGGAAATACTATATCCGGGTTTAACAGGGAATGTGAATGAAATATCGAATTCAAATATCCTTCTGTTATCTTATCTGCATTCTCCTCTTTGCAAATACAACTTACATTTCATAAATAAGTAGAGAAAACTGTGCTAGAGGAAAGATAGAGACTAGAGAGTAATTACAGGAGACATACAAATACAAATTGTAACAGTAAGTGTAATGGGAAACAAATACTTGTTGTCTTGTTCATGTCTTGTTACTAAATAGTTTTTTCAGATGAGCCTTACTGAAGTTTCTTCTAACAAAATATTTGGAGGTTACCAGAAAGTATTCTCCCATGAATCCAAAGAGGTGGGATGTACTATGAAATTTGGTGTTTATTTACCACCACAAGTTGAAGAAAATAAAAGACTTCCCATTATTTATTGGCTTTCTGGACTAACTTGTTCTGAATTGAATTTCCTTCAGAAATCTGGAGCTCAAAGGTAAGTTCATATATTGATGAAATTCTAAAAATGTTTTATGTTCAAGGAACTTGCAATAATTTGTATTATTTTCATTTCTCAAGGTTCATTCAAGTACTTATCACTGAAATTTAAATACAGAGGTCATATGTCATATCATCAGTATCATCACTGGAAAAGTAAGAAGTCTAAAGGTTTCCAGGGGACAGGAGAGCAATTTGAATGTTGAAATTTAGAAAAAATATTTAAAAAAATTGCCTAGTGAATCATTGTTAGGTTTGAATTAGTTTTTTTTTAGAAAATTGTTATAGTAATGATCTACTCCAAAACCAAACAATTCAATGAATAATTGGTGCTGAAGTCAAATTGTACTCCTATAGTCCTGAAATATTGAAAGGTAAAATGACTAATACAATAAAAACAGTTTTGTTAGTATAAAGCAAAGTTGCTGACAGTCTTATACAATTTTATTATAAGTAAAGTAAAACATCTACTCATAAAACCATAAAACTCTTCTACTCTACAAATAACCAGAGTAAAATGTCTAATGAAACAAACAAGAACACAAAAATCTCATAAAGCTGATTTGACTAACATGTCATTTCTCTTATATCTTAAGAATGCAAAATGGGTTAACACAATAATTGACTAACAGGCAAAACAGTTATGTTATCAGATGGATTAATCAAAGAAATAGTAGAAAATAATAAAAACTAAAATAACTAATGGTAGTTAATTCAATATTGGAGGTGACTTATTTCACTATAGTAAGAAAATGTAAATTTTCATCGAGATTTTCATGTCATTTAAACAAATATTTTGAATTTGTTGGTACCCATTTTACAGTGACTAAAGCACCAGCTGTATCATCAGCATCCTATGAAACATAAAAAGATAGATGCAGAAAAAAAGGGCTTTTTAGTCATATTTTTAACTCATTTCCCTTGGGGTGGTGCTTTAGACCTTTTACCTTTTCAGTGAGGATATCATTGACCTAGAATTGTTCCAGAATTCATTTATAGGAGAATATAGTTGCTAAATTTGAAAAAATAAAGTTCAGTTCACAGAGCTGTCAGGAGTACTGAACCAGTACTGAACACCCTATGCAGTCTCATATAAAATGCAATTTCTACTCACAATTCAATCTTGATAATGCTAAATTACAAAAATGACAAATTCTGAAATTCATTGGGTATTTCTGAAATTCAATTGAAGATTGAAATTCAAGTGACTATTCTGGAATACAATAAAATTGATGCTTTCTGAAATTGAATTGATATTTTGAAATACCACTGGAAATAAGATGTACAATCACAGACAAAAACAATTGTGTTGGGCCTGAAATATAATAGGTATATATTATTATGTATCAAAAATTTAAATCCTAGTTGAAATCTGTTGGTTAATGAATGATTTATAAAAATTATTGAGTGAGGAAAAGTGTTTGGAAAATCTTACCAATAGTTTGTAGAGGATAGGTTCAATTATTTTTTATGTAAGATATCAAAAGCTGAATTCTATTCAAATTATAGATATGCCTCTGAACATGGTGTGATCATTGTTAATCCAGACACATCACCTAGAGGTCTGAACATACCAGGTGACTCTGAAAGTTGGGATTTTGGAGTGGCAGCAGGTTTTTATATAAATGCCACTCAAGAGCCATGGAAGAAAAACTATAGGATGTACAATTATGTCACAGTTGAATTGCCAAGTATCATCAATGCCAATTTTCCTGTTGAAACTGGATTACAATCTATTATGGGCCACAGGTATGTATCCTAAGTTATGAACTCAACTTTATAAAATGGTTCACAAAATATCTCCATTCAAAATCAATACACATATTTATGATAATAGTTCATTCTTGAGTTAATTTTGTATATTTGCAGTATGGGTGGTCATGGTGCCCTCATTTGTGCTCTAAAAAATCCAGGGCTGTACAAGTCTGTTTCTGCTTTTGCACCTATTTCAAATCCAATAAAAAGTGCTTGGGGACACAAAGCCTTTTCTGGGTATTTGGGTCCTCAAGAAACTAGTTCTTGGGGTGAATGGGATGCCACAGAATTAGTCAAGAAGTATAATGGGCCTGCATTAGGAATATTGTTGGATCAGGTAAGAAAATGAACTAAATGTTAACTTTCCAGTAAACAAAATTAGTTCATGAGAGTGACTATGGAAGGTAATGAATATTTTGATATAATTTATAATGTAATTTGACATGTAGCAAATATCATTTTCAATTTAATTTTTGGAATTTACAATGTTGGTCATAACTTTCTGAGAATCAAACTTGAATGGAAAATTTTGAGATTTGAATATTGATACGTCAGGTTTGCCTCTTAGAAAAATTGAAATCATATCCCAAATCATTTGCAGATTATTTTTTTGACATTTTCATATTGGTTTAGGGATTGGATGATGAATTTTTCATAAAAGGCCAACTTTTACCTGAAAACCTTGTTGAAGCCTGTAAAGCAGCTGGAGTTCCTGTAGTATTGAAGAAAAGAGAAGGTTATGATCACTCATATTTTTACATAGCCTCCTTCATTGGTGAGCACATCAAGTACCATGTGGACCACCTGACCAGTAAGTTGTGAAAGCAAAATAATTTTCTGTACACAAAAATTTATAATATAATATGATAAGGGCACTACAGTTTTCTGGTATCTTTTACTGAACCTTAAATTACCTAGAATAAAATATGATATCATGATATTTACATTATTGAATAGTATGAAACTCATTTTATTGAACCTCTTAGTTCATGCCAATAGTGTAATACAGGTTCTCGTTTTTGCCAAATATATTGATTTCCCCATAAGGCCCAAAATCTGGAAAGCCAATAACAATTATTAAACTTCATCATGCCAGGATTCAGTGGCGGCTCCTCAGAGGAGGCAACGGAGGCTGTGCCTCCTCAGATTTTCCTTGAACTGATATTATCTATACTTTCTCATTAAAAGGAGAACAAAATACATGGATTTTGATTTCATTTCCTGTTTTTAGGTAAATATTTTTGAATTGGCAACAGTGCTTGCCCACGCATCACACGTTGAAGTCTGCAAATCACGCGTAAAATATTCAACTTGGCAACATCTATAGGAGGCTGGACTCCTTCACAAATCGCAACCCACTCGCGCAATGCAAATGCCCGAATAGCACGTGTTGGTCGTGTCGCGTCGCGAATTGCGGGCATTATTTATGTTTATGTTGGGTTAATGGTTAGGGGCCCTATAAATTTCTGAAAAATGAGTGTTTTAAATGATTGCGATTTGGTGGAATACTTCTTGGTGAACCCATTCAGTGCTTTGTCTTATGAAGATAAATTGATTGTGAAAAACAAACGTCCGACACCGGAATTAAAAAATCTGATTGGTAACTGGTAACAAACAAAATCGTTTGTTCAATTCTCATAATTATAAAAAATATATCTGGCTGACGGGATCGGAGGTAAGGAATAAGCTATTTTGTTGGTACTGCGTATTATTTTCAACCGATAATTCATCATGTTGGGGGCGATTAGGATATAATGATTTGAAAAATTTGGCTCGCGGATTGGATAGACTGCTAATCACAGGAACACATCTCTTCAAGTATCAAGTTCAGGTTAACCGGTAAACAGAATGTCATTAAAGCTATTGATTTGGGTGAGTAAAGAGTTGTTTGTCACAATAAATCTCATATCATTCAGCCTCCTCTGTCATGAAAGTCACGAGCCGCCACTGCCAGGATTCTCAAGATAAAATCAAATTACTTACATTCCACAAGCAGCGCCGCCCAGATGAGCTGCATGATCAAAAAATTTCCATCCAAGTAGTACACCAGCTGTGTCAAGACCTATGATGAACTTGATGGCCTTGAAAGTAAAAATGCCATGAAGACTACCAAAATACATTTGAAAAATATTATCAATACAAATGCCTGACAGAATGCATAATATTTCAGCAACTGAGTAGACCAATTGAAGACATGAGAATGATAAGTGGATAACAACCATTTTTGGTGAAATTCACTTTTTGTCCGATTTTCTTTAATAAAAAATCGCTCTATCGTTGAGAATGAAAAGGAAACATGTAACCTTGCCCCATTCGCCAGGAGATGGCAGGAAGAGTTATCCGCTTTCAAATCTGGACTGACTGTTGCAATGCCGTTGCCATGAGAAGCGGATAACAACCACACTCATCCAGTTATCATACTCAACGGGTTCAGTGTTTTGTGCATCCGAAAAATTCCATGATATAATTAATTGTTTTCCTGAACGTGGACATTCATGTTTGCCTTGTGATAATTTTTTCGGACAAATTGAAATACCGGAAAAAAAGAGAATACCTTTTCATTCCAAAAATGCCTCAAAAAATTTTCAGGTAGTTTATGTAACTCAAGCAATGGTCGAAAACTATAAAGAAACAATAGATGACTATTTCAAGAAGACTTTCCGAAATGAAGATGGAGCATTTAAAATCTCAAAATATGAAACATTCAAGTATACTGGAATAAGATAACAGTTTCAGAAAATCAAAACTGTATAGCAACTCAAACATTTGTTGCTCTGAAGAATGGCGTTGATTCAAAATCATTGGAATATCAAACTCTGCCAAATTAATATGATAATCCAATACCACTCAATCCAAATAAATTACAGGATAACATCGACTTGAGAAAGTATATTCCATCAGCATACCAAGAATGGTATGATAATATATCCACTAATGATGAAATTCCAGTAGATATATTGGAGTTATTATTTTTTTCAAGTTCCAATCTGAATCCAGTTGTCTTTTTATGTAATGTTCTGCTAATAAACTGACTTTTTGTGTTCAGAATGCATTATTTTCCCCTTTTCAGCAAAATAAGAATGGGAAGTGGATAAGTGTTAAACAGTTTTTTCAAAATTTTGATATTATTTTCGACTTTTTTTCAATTTCTACGTCTCCGACTTATGTCAAACTAGTTGATTAATATACCATGTGGCAAAAGAATACCAAAAACGAAATTCTCTAGTTTCCACACGTTTTTCTTGATTTTCTGGGAAATTTACTTTTGGCGCTTATCCACTTATCATTCTCATGTCTTCAATTAGACCTGAGAGATAAAAAGATTTGCTCACTACTGATGATGGGAACTCAGTTTCCAAAATACTTACCTATTTAGAAATATTTTGTGGTCAATTAGGTCATTTTCAATGTAAAAAAATAAAACAATGTTTAATGTAATTGGATATAAATACTAGGCCATTGTTTGGACAAGAATGATATCATCCTCCATCCAAGATTTCCAGAAATAAAGGGAAATTATGTGTTCCCTCCAGTGATAATATATTGTGAAGTGGAATGTGTGAGATAATTAGATATACTTACAGCACCAGCTGAGAAGGTGAACATTGGTAATAAAATTATGCCTAATCTTGTATCAGGATGCTGAGTGCATACATAACCCAAAATCGCCATTATAGCCCCAGACTGAAAAGACATTTAATAAATTTGGTGATGGGCATTCTACACTCTACTCACAGCTCCTAAAGATAACCCAGGCTGCTTGGTGATGATTTTGTACATATAGCTAGTAAAACTTGATGCTACTCCTGCACTCAAATAGAGGGCTAAAAACTGTTCTTTTCCTAAGCTATGTACTGCACCTAGTAGCAGAATAAATTGTTGATAAATAAAATTAATTCTCCACAAAAAAGTTTGTAAGATTGAACTCTTCTATAGTAGTTGGGAATAATGAATATGGTACCTGTACTGAAGCTATGTAAGACATACATATTGGCCAAGAGATGCAATCCTGAGTATTGACTGAAAGTTGATAAAAGCATGGGCAGGCATACATTCTGACTTGCAGGGTTCGAACAGAAGTACTTCATCATGAAAGGTTGAAACCTAGGTATTCTCCAAGATAAAAATACCAATATGTTCAGAGCACAAACGGGAACAAAGACTTTTTCCCCTTCTGTCAATCCTTTCCACCAATTTGTTACTTGCCTTGTTAAATCATTCTAAAATTGTAGAATAAAAAAAATATAATTGTGTTGAAATTATATTGTTACCACAGATTGTGTTTTCCATTCTGATTGTTGCTTGAAAAACTTTATGGGTTTTTTGAGCATGCTCAAAGCATGTGATCTCATATTTTCATACTCCCATATTGCTGCACCAAGAAAGCAGGACCCTGAAAACTGAGCTGAGTTAAAGCCTCATTGTGGGTTTTGGTGAACTACTTACTGCTACAGTGAAAACAAGTGGCTTGACTAATTTGCCCACATGTAGGGTACCAGAATTCACAGCAACATTTGTGAAAGGAGTTGCTAAACTTTCTGGATCAACTTTAGGCCCTTCATTGTTCACTTTACCTTTTCTGAAATGTCTTATAGGTTTTAAGAATGCATCAGGAACTGATTTTCGATTCAACAGGAGTTCTCTTGAACTACAAAATGAATAAAAGTAATTTTTTAAATGAAATCTCAAAATGCTAGGTTATCTTACCATAGGGTTGAAATTTTGTTGAAGGAAGATAATGCCATGATCTAATTACAGCATAAAATTGGAAATTATATGTGCAGACTTCGATAAAAGTGAATTTACCATTTATTTATTCAATCGAATTATCCACATATTTGTGATATTTTGAAGTTTTATTTCAGTTTTTATAGATTTTTGACAACTATTTGACTTTTCATGTCAAAGGGCTACTGAAAAATGATAACATGTATTAAAAAAAAAGAAGAACTAGGTATGTTTTCTTCTTCCTACTTGTTTTCACGAAAGTGAAGTTGATCTTCTTTACAATTGACAGATACTAAGTGAAGTGTCAACTAGCATAAAACTAGCTCAGTTGACACTTCGTATCTGTCAATTAGGCCATAGTTGACAATTAGTATCCATTTATGCTAGTTGACAGTTGAAACAAGTATTTGTCAGGTAGGCTAGTTGACACTTAGTATCTGTCATTTAGGTTAGTTGACACTTAGCATCTGTCATTTATGCTAGTTGACACTTAGTATCTGTGAAGCAAGCTAGTTGACACCTAGGCGTTCAGCCACAGTGGTGATACCAGAATGGTCAATGTTTGACTCGACTAGACTCGACTCCCATCAAAAGATAACGTGGTAACTTCAAATCCAGTTCCTGAGACATCTGTGATGGTTTGTATTGTTCCTGGAATATCCTGAAAAAAACATGAATTAGTATTATGATTTTCTGATTGCGCCAATTGACTGACTATAATATACAGATGTGGAAGAAAACATGGATCCACCCTTCTAAGGGCACTGCTTCATTGAAACAACGACTGTTGCTTTCCTGTAGGGCATGAATAATTTGGAAAAGAACTTGTATAAAACCACTGTTTATACCTAACTCTTGAAGGCGACACCCTCCTTTGTAGAGAGGCATTACGAACGCCAAAGTTGATACACTCCCCTCGTAAGGGTACCTGACGTGATTCCATACACTCACATGAATGTCGACAAATTATTCGACTGAATAAATGAATAATTTAGTGAATCGATGAAAGTCGTTTTTTCATGAAAGAATGTTCGAAGAAGAATAGAACTACGAAATTAATTTGAGGAGTGAAAATTTTTCTAAGGTAATTGCAACTTATCTCAAAAATCTCCATATTTCATTAGCCTATCTGCTATGGCATTACATTAAATGTTGAGGTCTGAATTGAAGTGTCCTACAAGCGAATAAGGAGTTCTTGCACATATACGTTCTGAGATTCTTAGACATCTGCGATGGTTTGCATTGTTCCTGGAATATCCTTAAAAAACATGAATTAGTTTTATGATTTTCTGAATGCGTCATATAACTATAATATACAGATGTGAAAGAAAACATGGATCCACCGCTTCATTGAAACAACGACTGTTGCTTTATTGTAGAGCATGAATAATTTGTAAAAGAACTGGTATGAAACCTGAAGGCGACACCCTCCTTTGTAGAGAGGCATTACGAACGCCAAAGTTGATACACTCCCCTCCTGAGGGTACCTGATCACGTGATTCCATACACTCACATCAATGAGTGTCGACTAAATATTCGACTGAATAAATGAATAATTTAGTGAATCGATGAAAGTCGCTTTTTTATGAAAGAATGTTCGAAGAATAGAACTACGAAATGAATTTGGGGAGTGCCAATTTTGAAGGTATTGGCAACTTATCTCAAAAATCTCCATATTTCATCAGCCAATCTGGCATGGCAAGGCATCACAAATGTAGAGTTCTGAATGAATGAAGTGTCCTACAAATCACGATAATTATTATTGCAGTCTACATACTATCTCACACAACACCCGGTATCCAAAACAAGAAAGTATATATCTATCAGATTATGATAATTATCACTGCGTCCACACCAATCGAAAGCCGTTCGCAAACTGATTCAACTGATTCATATTTCTTTATCATCCCTATTGAATTTATCGGTGAGTAATGCTATACGTTATTCATTACACAATCTATCAGTAGTATGAGGAAGCAAATAAGAATACAGGGTCGTTTTTTCATTTGGCGTTGAAAAAACGGCGCCTTTATTTAGATTGAACTAAACCGGGTGTATACAGAGTGACCACGAAATAATTGGCCGGGACGTCATTCAGTTGTTATTATGTCATAGACATTCGACATTTGATCGAATCGTAGATATATATCTATAGTTCCTCAGAGCCCATATTTTCCTTGATAGAACAATTGAAAATTACTTGAGTGATTATTTTCACGGGAATTCCCGTTTATTTCTTTTCTATGACATCTCATAAGTGGACATTTGTTTTTAAAATGGCGACACTGTGACGTCATTGATCATTTTAATGGAAATAAACGCACGGCAATGTCTGAAATGAGAATGACTTGCAAAGAAATTTATGAAAATGTCTCGGAAAATGTGCATAAGTAGGTATATATACTTATATATGAAATTACGCTCTCTTTGTGTAAAATATTTTCGACAATGCAGTATATCCGCTGCTTCTATCGAAAAGTAGCAACAACTTTGTTATTTCACATTTCAGATTTTCCCTGAAGAACTGATTTCATTGATATATCACACTTTGGGGTCTAGCCTCGGGTCTAGCGGTAATGATTTCAGAGATATATATAGGGTGCTCAGAATCGAGAATTTCCAACTTTACGATTTTTTTATATTGATTTTCGATTTACTATACACTGACATTCCATCGAAACAGATACAGGGTGATCAGAATCCTGAGTCTTGATAACCACCCCCTGTATCTGTTCCAATTGAACGTCAGTATAGATAGTAAATCAGAAATGATGTGGATAATATGAGAACATGAAAGCCGTTCTGATCGATAATGGATAGTTTCTACACGAAAATATCCTAATGTTGAAAAATCCCGATTTTGAACACCCTATATATTTCTGTAATCATTCCCGCTAGACCCCAAAAGTGTGATGCACCGATGAAATTAGCTCTTCAGGAAGAATATAAAATACAGGAAATTCTATTTGAAATTATACAAAGTTGTTATTACTTTTCGATAGAAGCAGCAACACGAACACTGCATTGTCGAAAATATGTTGAACGAAGAGATGAGCGTAATCTCAAATATAAACATGCACAGTGACATACCCCGTATATATACTACGAAAACCAGAGAGAAAGGTTTTTTACAAAATCTTGGTACTTACTTATGGTTTAATTATACTATTTCAGAACCCACTAATAGTCGCAGCCAGTCGCAGCATCATCCTTCTAAAAATCCCAAATTCTGCCGAATATTCTGCACAGAAATCATTCGATTGATTCACGTTTCACTCAACTTCACTTTTGACCTAACTCCACTTCTCCTAACCACATCATGAAATACACACCAAAAAATCTCAGTTGTATTATATTATATACACACTAAAACTGATACAAAACCCAGTTATTAAAAGGAGAAGTAAATTCACTGTCAAATCACAATAATTATCACTGCAGTCTGCACTGAAACTCACACAACACCCGGTATACAAAACGAAAAAGTATGGTCCGCATCATGTCCGCACCCACCGAAAGCCGTTCGCAAACTGTTTCATATTTCTTTATCATCCCGAATAAATTGCTTGCAGGTGAGTAATGTCATACGTTATATTCATTACACAATCTATCAGTAGTATGAGGAAGCAAATAAGAATACAGGGTCGTTTTTTCATTTATTGGCATTTAAAAACGGCGCCTTTATTTAGAATCATCTAATCGGGTGTATACAGTGTGACCACGAAATCATTGGCCAGGACGTCATTCAGTTCTTTTTAAGTCATAGACATTTGAATCGGAGATATATATCTATAGTTCGTCAAATTACTTCCCGTTTTACCGGGAACAAACCCAGGTCACGAATTTATTTCTTTTCATGACATCTCACAAGTGAACATCTGTTTTTTAAATGGCGGCGCAGAAGACATTTTTTAAAATCTATATATGGCGACACTGTGACGTCATTGTTCAGTTTAATGGAAAACGCACGGCACTGTCTAAAATAAGAATGAGTTGCAAAGAAATTGATAGTTAAGTTTAAATAGGGATATAAAAGCCGTTTTGACAGATAATGAATAGTTCCGACACAAAAAAATCCTCAAGTTGGAAAACCTCGATTTCGGAATACCGTATCTCCGTATCTCTGTAATTATTCCCGCTAGACCCCAAATGTGATATATCGACGTCATTGATCGAAATTTCGTCAAGCTACCTAATAAAATAGCGAATAAACGAAGCACTTCGATTAGTTTTTTATGAAACCACTGGCGTAAACTAGCCATCAGAGCTGAGGGAGGGGGGGGGGTTAGAAAGGATACATGCGGTCTATTACAATGATGTGATCTAGGATATATATAGCCCATTTATGAATTATTTAAATGGAAATGAAATCCACAATCAGGTGAGCTTTTTAAACTTACATAATTATCACCTGCCTAACACGGTTCTGAATTTAAATACGCCGTCCGAAAGGTATGAAATTAAATTGTATTTATAATAGCTTCAAAGAATTATCCTACCCATATTCACATTCACTCTCTGACTATAGGTACACAAAGTTTATAAAACTCTTTAGGAGTTTACTCTGTTGATATTTTATTTATTTTCTCTAATCCCTAAACAATAAGCAACAAATTATTGCCTACCACAGATAGACAGTATAGGGAGAAGGCCAAATAAATTTTCAATTAACAACTTACCTTTTGTCTTTTTTTCACTATTTCACTGTACTTTGAGTATTGTCACAGTATTAAGCCTATAATGACAAAAAATAGAAAGAGTTGTGCTTCAGATTGCAATCTAAGTAATGTAATAACCTGTTTCTAACGATCTTTAAAAGACTGACGACAGTGACGACTGACTGAACTGCAACCAGTGCAACCTGCAACCGAAGCGTGCCGTGAAAGACCTGGGAATCCCAGAATGTAGGGAAGAGATGGAGACCACACTCGTGCTGCTTGCAGGGACAGGCGGACAGGAACGAAGCGTTGTTCCTAGGGTAATTCTGATTGTACTGTCAAAGAGTGTAGAATGTACAGTTTTTCGAGAAATTGTATAGTCGCCATCTGTTTTACTAGCTTAGAACATTTTTTTTGACATGACAAGTGAATCAGAAGTGTCTAAATCTTTCGAAGTATTACAATCACCGAAGCCGCATGCGCCTATAATGTATATCACGTGACTCGATGTGACCAATCTGACAATGAGGTTTGTTAACTTAGACCGTGAGGAAGAAACAATGAAAACGCAAGAAATGCAAAACCATACTCTCAGGGATTCACAGAACAAAGAACACTCCACATATTTTGTGGAATCAGAATAGTGTCGAATTGTAGTTTTGTACAGATTTTTCGATTGTATCGCCTTGGTACAGTTGAACATGCAAATGTACAGCTTTTTGTACAATTGTACACCCTGGCAACAACACTAACATCTTTATCATTATATCTTGTGAAATTCATCGATATTTTTAATGGTAAAATATATGATGAAATATTTTGATATGTATCTACTTTATTTAATTCGGGGGAGGGGGCTGGAAAGCCTTGGGGGTGGCCCGGACCCCCCCTCCTATAGTAACGCCAGTGCCCTTGGAATGAGAAGAATCATGACGTTGAAATATTCGGATTGAACCTTAAAATTCTCCTTATAAAATGAAACTGCAAGTTTACTGTGAAGAACTCATAATTTAATTCCACATGTGATTTGTAATAGCTTCCTATGTTCTTATCACACTTGATTAAAAAAATATATCAAACTATACACAGATAATACGAAAGGGAATCAAGCAGCTTGAACATACAACAAAACCTATGAATAACATCTTAGAAACATACAGATAGACAACCGGGCTACTTCCTAGACTTTTTCGAACTACGTTTATCTCCACTGTCATCTCTGCTCCTCTTCTTATCATGCGAACTTGAGTGAGAACTCCTGTGCCTATCCTTGTCTTTGTCCTTGGAGGGAGAAGACTTGTGATGAGAAGAGGAAGAAGAATGCCGGCTCTTGTCCTTGTCGCGGCTGCTGTTGTGTCTGTCCTTGTCTCTCGAACTGGAGTGTTTGCTCGAGGAATGTTTGGAGCTCTTGTGACTGCTGCTGTGCCTGTCCTTGCTCTTGGACGAACTGGAAGATTTGTGCCTGTCTTTGGAGGAGGGGAACTTGCTGCGACCCTTGCCTCCTCTGTCATCTGCCACATCATACTGGCGCTCTCTGTCTTCTTCTTCCGCTTCTCTCTCCAAGTCTGACCAGTCTTTGCCAGATTCTTCATCAGAGCCTGAAAATAATTTTTCCAAATGAGGGAATGAAGAATCACTCTTCACCAAAAAATTTCTTGAAATTTCGCGAAAAATATATAATCTTTTTGATATATTCCACATACAGGTTACGTTTTGGTGACATAACCATTAATTTAGATAATAAAGGAATGTATTTCTTTGCATAGCTCAGTTTTGAAACACTTCTTTTATTGAATCGGTTGCAGATACTTCAACTTTGAGTTCTTCAAAAGAGCTAACGAAAGGAGACCGGAGCACTTTCTGATGACCCATGTATTATTATGTATTATTATTATTTGAAACCCTAACATTGGCTCATTGTGTAGTTATATCAATATTATGTCAATGAATGTATTTCCATGAAATGAATATTGGAATTTGAGGCTTCAACAAACACTTGAAGTGTCGTCTCGTCTTTGGGCAACTCAAATAAATGTTAGCAACCATTCTTAGAATTCTTGCAATTCATTACCGAACATTTCCGCGGGGACGCCTATTCAATTTTCAGATCTGACGTTTCAAATCAGATAATTATGACAATTCGGCGATTTCAGTGGTGACTAGGGTCCCTTGATGCGAACTGACGTATTTGTCATCTAACAGGGTACGGACAGATCATAGCTCCTTTCTCTTTCCATCATCTAGTGACTTTGGTTTCGTGTATTGGCGTCCCTGATATGACATTGCTCTCACGTCACATTCATGGGCGTTAAAAGAGATCTTACAAAATTTCAATTTCATACTTGATCTTAATATGACATTATTGAATTCTGTTTTGGGCGGATAGTAAAATGTTCTGCGTTAGGCTGTATCAATCAGTTGGATGGCAAATTTGAATTTGTCAGCTTTCCATCAATTGTAAATGAACTACATCAACAAAATATTCAATACAAAATCACATACTATACTTTCTCACTGTGTCTATAATTATCCACGCCACAAGTTTTTGAATGCATTTTAGCAGAAACAGTTTTGATTAAAACGGAGGATTAAAAAGAGGCATATGCCATACCATTTAAAAAATTATACCTACATTCAGGAAATATCGAGTGTTTGTGAAAAACTGCAAAAATGATTTCCAACATGAATATATACAGCACAGTTTATGAGTACATTAGTTTAAATACCTACATAATATTTTTCACTATTTAATTCTCAACCATAAGGCTTGGTCTGGAATTAAAATTCATTTATTGATAGGTACTGCCTAAGAACAGTCCCATTTGGTGAAACGTATAACTTTCAGAAAAATTTGCTCACTGCCTCACAAAGATCATGCTGGAGTTTAAAAATCAAAAACTCGAAATTTATCATCATTTGGATATAATATGTAGAGTTGAATGAGAAATTACATGAGGAAATTACGTATGATACGCCAATGTCTTCAATATAACCTAAAAAATAACAAATGTCAGAAATCAAGTGTTTATCCCCAGAATGGATAAAGATGGAACTATATAACTGTTTCACAAACACTTTAGAGTGAAATGAGATGTTCGAGATACTCTAGGATAGGATATTCAGTTCTCAACACACTAAATGGACCACTTTTATGAAAAAGAACAAGAACAAATTCAACATACGCCAACCATATATTAGAAGAAAAGTTTTAATGATAATTTCGAAATTCTACACGAAGAAAATGAAGGACTGAAACTCAATCATTTTGAATCATTAGAAATCAACAAACTCAAAAATTGTGACATTTTACTTAATGATCAATTAGACCTCAATAGTTCCCCACTGTTGAATTTGTTTTCTTAGTGAGTAATAATATGTATTTGCTATCAACTCTTTCAAGTTAATCCGGTACACCGTATTTTCATGTAGATATTGTGCCTAATTTCCGAAAATGAAGGTTTATCGAACCTGTCCACAGGTAACTAATCCTTCAGGTTGGGAAAGTAGGATATATAAAAGTCAAGCAAGCCAACGTTACTTTAGTTCATTGCACCAGTATATAACCTGACGAAGCTACTGTCTTAGCGAAACATGTCATGTGTTCGAGAATTTTGTGGAAATCTTATCGTTTGTGAAGTTTTTACATTTGCCATGGATTTCCATCGAGTAACAGCCGAGTCAATTCAAAATTTAAAATAAAATAAATAGAAATAAAAGGCGTCCAACTCACCCAAATCGTCCGCGGAGCCGACGTCGTCGTCCTCCGTGTCCCCCTCCGAGTACTCGGAGTCCTCGTCGCTCCAGTCCGACCCCTCCTCGCTGACGTCCGTCGGCTGGTACGGTTCGTCCTCCTCTTCGCTCTCCTCCTCCTTGCCCTCCTCCTCATCGGACTCGGGGTCGAGGAACGTCCAGCCGCCGTTGTCGAAGAAGCCCTCCGGGTCGTCGGTGATCGTTTTCATGATCTTGACCCAGTTCAGGGATTGCACGCCCTCGGCGTATCTGGGGAGAGGGTGGTACGGTTATGAGTGACTTTATAAATAGGGTGACCATAGTGTTACACTTTTTAATTGGTCAGACCTATAATGACACCTGTCTTGTTTTCTCCATTCAGTTCTACGCGTTTTATTTCAATTTGTCAAATCTTTGTCTGCGTTTTTTGTTCTTTGGACACAAAAATTCCAACACTCAGATATAAAACTCTATACTACGTCAGTACCTTGGATATCAACTATTAGAATTCGTCTTTTGGGGCTCGTCAGGTGGGCACTTCTAAGGCGCAAATTCATTACTGCATGGGAGATAACCTTCAGATTTTTAGCTATTTAGTGACTTGACCACGAATGCCAAATATACCTAGGGCAATTTTTCTCTGCCAAATACATACATATAAGTTTAGTCAATTTACTATTATATGACTTTAAGAGTTTGTGCCTTTGTTTTTACCTGATATCACAAGAATTCAGCCACTCCTTGACATGATCCAGCATGTGCATGGGTATTGCATTGACCATGGCGATTTTCCTTTGGTAGTCCTTGAAAACGAACACCATATCGAAGTTCTTCAGATGGAACTGCACACGTTCGAAGTGCACGAGTTCCACGTCTTCCAACGTGATGACGAACGGCGGCCATTCGGTGAGGTTGACGAGACATCCCGAAGTCGGTTGCAGGAGAACAGTGGAACGGAAAGGGACTCCGGGGAATCCCAGCTCTCGGAAGGGCGTGTCGAATTCTATTTCTTGTTTTGTCATCGATTCCACCTGAACATCGAACCAGTCTATCAATTTTTTTGAACAGTTCAATAAATCTGGTACATTTCTTGAGGTACATATGCTGTTTGTGGCAACAGCTTTCAACATATCTTTCGAACATTGTACCCTTGATTATTTACAGTAACAAGATGATCCACCTCAATCATTTGTATCTCTTGGTCAATTCTTCTTTTTTGCTCCTCCCTAAAGCCCAACCTCACTTCACATATTTGCTCAGTTTTGTGGACATCTGAGTGCTAGGATGGGACAATTGAAGACCTCGGTGCAAGATCCGACAACTCCATTTTATGCCGAAATTGGATTATTGTATTTAACATATAGAATTTTTCTTGCGCATCTTTTGGTGCAAGAATCAAGCGAATCAAACAATTTCCTATTAAGCTAACACGGGAAAGGATTTACCTGATGATCCATTGAGGTGAAAGAGTCGGACAACTCCAGGAGTTACCCGACTTTAGCACTGAAATGTTAGCCATGACGGTGCTGGAGTCGGGCAACTCCAGGAGTTACCTGATTTCAGCACCGAAATGTAAGCGTGTAGTGGGAGATGTCGGAGTGGGGTTATTAGTGGCAAGACTTCCCGCGTCTTCCATCATGTGTGGCGTGATTAGTTTGATCATTTGTTCCATGCAATACAATGTAATGTCGTCGGAAAGTGAAAGTGAACCCTTTCAAGATTCGGGGAGTGAATAATATGTTCCAAAAACAAAACTGTTGATGAAGAGGACCCAAATTCTGGCAAAGTTTACGAAGATCAAGATGCAGGAAACGTCAGCCACTCTTCCTATGTTCAAAATACTATTCGTTTACAATATTGTTCGTTATATATTGGATTAAGAAGCGAACAGGCAACTCCTCTTTTCAAACTTCTTTTTTAGCTTCTACAATGTAAATGAAAATTACTATCTAAGTTAATACAGCTTATCTAACGTAACTCTAAAGGATTCATACCATTTAGCATAATTTTCTTCAAGTTTCTCAAAAATATTGAGTTTTTCCCCATTCCCCAACATTTAAAAAAATTGGAGTTGCCCGGTCCTTGCACAGAGGTCTTCAATTTGTGAACATCTGCTTATGTGGCCGCCGATTGATAACTTGAAAGGAGGTGAGGTGTTTTAGTGGGTACACCTACTTGTAGGGATGACCACGTCCGAAAAAAAAACCTCAATGTAAAATGTTGAGGCCAAAGATGGCATTAGTTCTTGGCTGGTTCATAGACGGCATTAGCGAAACTAAGCAAACTATGGCCGATTTTTCTACTCTCGGAATCTGCTCTATTCCATCTATCTGCAAGTTGCTGAACTATCTGGGAATATCCTTCTTTCTGAAGCAGGAAAATTATTAACTTTGATATTCTGAATGCTTTGAAATAAACAAATATTAATCTGGCCCTGATGCGACAATTCTTCTTGCATATGAACATCTAAAAATATCCTTGGAATACATTCTGCATTACCAATCTCTACCCTTCGCTACTCTACAAAAAGTAGATCACCTAGTTGTTCAAAGAAGCTGCCATCAACTGAATAGAATTTCAGGCTTCATTGCTTTCATATGGATGGTTCATGTTGTTAAAGTAAATAATCAGGGACAGTACAGAATGGGTTTTTGAGAACATTGACCCGAATTTCGACGCGAATTTAGCACAATTCCACCATGGGCAAGTTCTTATTTTGACTTTCGGGTTCGCATTTGTACAATTGAACCTATAAAAAAATTACGATCATTTGTTCTTGACACCTTCATCCGGCTGCACAGTGAAAAAACGCATCATTTACAATTTTCGCAAAAATGATATATGAATATATATGAATTTCAAAAAGTAGCTGCACAGTAAGTTATAGAAGAGTAGTGGACCTGTCAGTGGACTATTATCTATGTCTACCTGTATCAACAATTTAAGTGTAATGTATAGTATAATAAATTCAAATTCAACCATTCCTTTGTGGGTAGATTGATATTTGAATGCAATATTTTTCATGAAGATTTCATCTGGAATATGAACACGAAATTTAAAGAAAACAAAATTGAGTATGCCAGTTCAACATGAATTAATCCACATGAGAAAATTGGGCGAAAAAACAAAATACCCATATGTGCTATTCACTAGAATACCTAGATAGTATACCTAGACCTTTTTTTAGGGTAACCATATATGAAGAAAGCAAATATCACCTTTTCACAAAAACTTTTGAAAGCTGTCTTGAGCTTGTGTCTGAGCTCCCTCTCAGACTGCTCCGCCGCCAAATCATCTCTGTCGTGCATGTGCTGATGTTTGCCCAAATCTGTTGTGATTTCTCCCACCTCAGTGTAGAACTGCACGTCAACATGCTTTTTTTTCCCAAACATGATGGCGTGTTTCAAGTGGAAATGCAGCAGGATAATCATTTCACCATCACAAGGTTGAAAGAATGCGTTTTTTATGTTGTTATAGAGAATGTCTACTTTGTCTCCTCTGACTGAAGTGTATCTGAAGCCATTACTATGAGCCTCTAGGGATCCTGTCATACGTTTTGATACTATATTTGGTCTGATATAGAGATCCTTCAGCTTGGGATTTCCCTTGTTCTGTGACAGTACTAGAGTGTCTTGTTTGACTAGATCCTCTTTTTCTTTCTCCTCTGCTTCCCGAGTTTTGAATTTTCTTTGGACCTCCTTGATGAGCCGGAAAGCTGTGTTTAGATTAGATGATGGTGGGGTCACTGCCCCTGGTTCTTTTGTGTTTGTACTTCTGTAGGTGACTTCTTTTACAAAAGTGGCTTCTGTTTGGGCCCAGTTGTTACCTATATTAAAAAATATCTATGAAATTACCAATCATGATAAGAAACAAATCATAGATCATACTTGTGAGGGTCCAAAAGTTTCCTTAATTCATTTAATACTGAGATAAATATCAATTTTTATGTTGAAAATTCAACATTTGCTCAGTCAAGATCAAAATTGAATTGAATTATTGATGGGTTGGTAGAGAATACCTAGTTCAAGCCCCAATAATAAAAATTCAATTCATCATATTTGGGACATGAATTAACTCTAGTGACGGCTCGTGCCCTCAGAACCTGAGACGGCCAGGGCAGATGTTGCTCTAGTAACTAGTTGGTCAGCTTATTTTTTGTTATTAATGAGATTATGATAAATGGCTTACCATCAGATGATACTATCTCTCTCACGCTCGCCATGACAATTTTTTTTTCTGCTGATTCTCAACACACGACACACCAAACGCGAGAAGCACCACAATGACTAATAACAAGCCATCCCACTCTATCCTGGTCGGCCGGCCGTACCTCCGAGAATCGTCAAACGGTGCGTTCGGGGAGTTCGCTACAGAGCTGCCACAAGAACGCCAAAAGCCGCAAAAGCGTCGAATGCATTCGCGAAGGCAGAAGACCATAAACGTCATCCTGCTTGTTTTGCATCCAAAGGCAACACAATATAAAAATAACCATTGTTCATCAATTCAAAATCACAAATCTCTTCAACAATAATCTATTCACACCAACAAATTTAGTCCTTTTGAAGAAACAAAACACGACAAATTTAGCGATATTTCACATATCAAAAAACAATGAAGTTCTGTCTTCACTTTTTTGCCTGTTTAGATGAAAAAAAAAATCTCTGGCTCTGAAGCATTGCAATCATTGGATAAAAGAAAATCTATACACCAATCCGCCATTAAACAACACGAGTGTGAAAGAGACAGGTTACCGTAACACAAGCTATCTTGGTTGCAGCTGTCCCTGCCATACTATAGTATACATAGTATTACATACTGCTACCTGTGTCTTTGGAAATAAATAATATTCTTTAAGTTCCATACATCTTCATCACCAGAGCTTTTTTTATGATTATTTTTGGACTGCTGAAACTTGTTTTGCCATATTAGGCACATTACATACAATAATATTCAAGTTATACTTGAATTATTGCCGCTCAGAAGCGCTGAAGGTAAATCAGTACTGATTTTAATATTGAATGAATGTTGAATTAGAAAGTTGCAAATGCTAAAATTACCAGTCATTTTATCTGCAAACATGAACAAGAACATCAAGGGTGCATTTCATTTTCCTAAACCTTTTTAACATTTTTTTTTAGTTGGTACATTCTGATAGATTTCAACATCAACATACAAATAAGTATGGAAATAATAATCATAAATACAATATATTGCTAAAACGAAAATAGGATGATGATCCGTGCAATTAGGTCGGTATATGGGGCAAAGCCGAGGGCAAAGCACACTATAAGGCTGATGTACGTACGTACAGTCGTATTCAATAAAAAAGCGTAAAAGTATTGAAAAGAGAGGATTTCGGGATCCTAGTTTTAGTTGTGTAAAACTGTCTCAGCCAATGCTTTGTGTTTTCGAGAACCTATGACAACTTTACTGTCAACATTTGGTGAACAATCATTCCCGATAGCCCATTTTATGCAGAATAGGATGACGTTAATTTCTCTCTGTAATATACTTGTACGCTTTTTTTAATGCGACTGTACGTACGGCCAGCCAAGCTCGGCCGTACCAGTGTATGACGCGAGAATTTCAACTTGATCCGGGCGATACGTCAAGAGACAAGAAGTCACCGATCGGCCAGCCGACTGCAGTAGTGTAATGAGTTAAGGATAAGGCGCACTGAATCGGTACGGTCGGCTTAGACCGACCAGATCGTCTCGGCATCGGCAGAGAATGATAGATGGGGCAAAAACTGCCGATTGCTCTCAGTGCTTGTACGGTTTTTGAGCCGAAGAAGCTGCAAATTCAAAGTTATGGCAGATATATCATATTGTATGATCTCTAAAATAGATACTACCACAACAACATTTGTATAGGTTTCCTTCTTTTGAGATTGGTGTTATGGATCAGAACCTTGGTTTCTGTTTTTCAATTTTTCGCATGCTGAGGCAATCAAAATATCTTTCTAAGATTCAGATGAACTAATTTTCACTTGTGTTGAAATTGGTTATACATGTATGCATGTGACTGCCGCTGAAGAAATACCAAATGTGCTGATTCAGTGCGCGGTATAAGCTGCCATGATTACCTTTATAGGGAGCGTTTTTATTTAAAGCGGCGTTTTGACGATGGGATAGCCAGATGTCATAGGTCCTGAATAACTTCATGATTTTCAGTGTATATTCGGATGGCTTATTGGCTTACCCAAATGTTTCAGTACATGAAATTCAAATAATAGTGGCATAAGAGTAGCATAATAAACAATGAATATTGAACAGTCTTGAATTATGATGTCATTCATCAAATGGTTCAGCATTTTTCCTCAAATTTTCTGTTACCGGCCGACCAGAGGAGCCGTCACTGATTGACTCACTATGTACCAGTTTCTTTGGTAGATATACAGATTATGTTGAATAAACTTTTAAACCATAATAAGAGGGGTCTATTTGTTAATCTTAATGAATAAAATAATACTTTCAATGAGAAACCCTATAGAACTTTTTCATTCTTACCATCATTTTTTCCCATGGTGGATCCAGGATGAAAGAAGTTGACACGCAAATATGTATAGTCCCCTTCAACTGATTGAGAAATATTTTTTATTGTTGAAATATGGAAAGGAACAGAAATTCCATAAATAGGCAGAATAACAGTTTCATATTTTTGATCAACATATAACTTCAATTCTTTAATTTCTGGAACTTTTGGTATTTGATTGACATTCTTGTAGGAAACTGTATTCTTCCTAACCTTTTCTTTATCTTTAGAGCCAGACTGTTTGGCCAAACGTTCTTTAGCTTTTTCATTGAGTAGTACAGCTAATTCTTTCTGATGTTCTTTTCGCTTTTCTTCAGTACTATGTTCTGTTCTTAATTTTGAATCTAACACAGCAGATCTTTTGCCTCTTCCAAGAACTTCAGTTTTCTTTGGAGTATTCTCTTTTTCCTCATCATTTTCCTCTTCTTCAGAGTCATCTCTCAAGAAGATACCAATGTTTTTGATTTTTTTCTTGGATCCTGTAAGTACAGTAGCAGGCTGGGTATCATTTACTACCACAGTGTCACCAATAAATAGAGCATATGTTTTTCCTTCTTTGTCAGAGGCCTCTGAATTTTGCAAATTACCAAAACCTATATTCAAATTGAAAACCATGCCTTTTTTAGCTTCTGCCATAGTTTTTGGTCCTATCATCAATGAACTTTCCTTGAATTCAATACCCATTGCAAAACCAAAGTTTTTTGTTACAGAGTCTACCAGTTTTGGTTTCTCTTTCTTAATGTAACTCAAGCCTGCCTCATAAACATCAGAAAGTTTAATACCATTATGTAACTTCTTTAAAACCTCTTCCTCAACATTAAGAAGAAAATTGTAATTATCTTGAATATCTTGACTTGGATTTACAAGTAAGGTACGAACAATGTTTGAGCAGTAAGATTTGTACCTGGCCCCCAATGAACAGATTATAGCCCCAAAATGTACATTATTTTTGTCACTGACCACACTGAACTTGAGACTGTAGTTACCACCAGATTGAATAATAGCTGGGTAACACATGTCTACCTGGTTGACATCAACACCTGAGACATATTTTTTATCAGTGATAGCAGATTCTACTCCTTCAGCCAATTTGCTGTGTTTAACTTTCTTTTCAGAGTCTATTATCTCCATTATCTGATCTTTCAAATACTTAGTGAACACATCCACAGTTACCATGCATGCCTTCTTGATTGTGATCAACTCAGAATCTTCTTTGGGACACATGATATAAGCAACCTGCACACTCATATCAACATTTTGGAATTCTTGCTTTTTTACTATGGCACGCCATGAATCCATGAAAGGCCCAGCATAGGTATCTTTAGAAAACACACCAATTGCTTTCCCATTTCTGCTCTCTTTGATAGCATTGCAGAGTGTGTCAAACTTGGCCTCATCGCCTTCTTTGTCTCGAACCAACAGCCCTAACTGTATGTGAGATTCATCTTTTTCCTTGCTTTCAGCTTGACGGAGAAAATCAATCTTCTTTTTGCTAGCCAAGAAGTAAGCCTTCTTTTCGGTAAGGACCATGATGGTATCAGTAAGTTCATAACCCAAGAGCCATGTTTGCAGAGCGCCGGATTTACTGTATACAATTTCATCGTCTTTGCCGACGGCGGTTACTAATGCATCCATCTGAGAGAATCCATTTTCAACTTCAGTATTCAACCATGCGTCGTACAATCTTTTCAGACGACGGAAAAAGGTGTCTTTATCAAGATTAACGTTAGCCATTTTTCACAATTTAAATCAGGGGATATGTACTGTGTCTGACTGAACTACTTCCGCACCGCCATAAATATGAATGAACCACAGTCACAGTACAGTACACAAACCACAATAGTTTAAAAGGACAGTTAAATTAATGTTGGAGAATTGAAGAAATGAAATGAATGCAAAGGACGCAAACGCGCCTCATCCCCGCCAATATTTATGACAAATTGTCAAATGTCAATGTCAATATGTCACTATTGTCCACTTCTACTTATTATTCGACTTCACCGTCATCCCAGTTCATGAGTTCATGCTGTCCTAACATTTCACGAACACATTCACGACACGCTACTGGCTCTACTCTACTGGACAAGCATGTCATATATCATAGTGATAAAACTGAAAAATACTAAATACGGAAATAAATAAAATATTCTGCCGTATGAATAAGAAGTAGATGGAGGATGACCTCAAGGAGGCGTGTACTTGGCCAGATAGCCCAGGCAGCTAAGTCCATTCAAAATTCAAAGTGAAGGGAAGAAGAAGATGACATAACCACAATAATGACATCCATCCCGATAGCTGGTAAATATTTTTATTAAAATTTGTATTGAAAATAATACCTTGATTTATTAATTCAGTTCGTAGTTCTTCTGGAATTGAGCTCCTGCTTGGACCACCTAATTATGGATATGAACAGGAATTCACAACTGTCCAAACCAAATCATGTCGGACCATGCTTTTCAGTCCTGATGGCCAATACTTGGCCTATGTGATTGAGCAGACGTAAGATACTCATTTTATCGGGACCAGGGACCCTAATTTTATCCCCATCATATTGGTATTTTATTATTTCCCGTATTTAAGGTTGAAAGTCTTACGAACAGATACTTGGGTGGATGTAGCAGTGATAAACAATGTCAAAGCATACCACTTGGCTTTTTCACCTAAAGGCTCATTTCTTATGAGTTGGGAGCCTTTCACAGTAAACAATGCTAATCCTCAGGGTAGCCCAAACTTGAAGATTTACAAATCTGAAAATGGAGAGCTTGTGAAGACCTTTGTTCACAAGAAACAAGGAAACTGGTAAATGAAATAGCTACCTATTTCACAAGTACATTGATAGATATCTTTACAATTTCAGGGAACCACAGTGGAGTGCAGATGAAAAACTATTTTCAAGAGTAGTAAATGTTGATGTAGTATTTTATGAGGATCTCAATTTTGAGAGAATTGTTGCCAGAATAAATTGCTATAAGGTTGCCTCATATAAATTGTCACCAAATTTAGGTACTTACTTCCTATTGTGTCATACTCCAGGCAGTCCAGGACAGCCATCATTTGGAAGGTTGGGAAATTCAAAATAAGCATATCATGATGGCACTTTTCATGGTGGTATCCTCATTTCAGGTTATTCAAATATCCCAGTTTTGAAGCCACCCAAGCCTTAGCTAACAAAAGTTTCTTTCAAGCAGATAAAGTAGATTTCATTTGGAACTCAAAAGGCAATAATGCTCTTTTGATGACTTCAACTGAAGTTGATAAAACAGGTGGTTCATATTATGGTAAACAAGGTTTATATTTCATTGGATTGAATGGTCAAACTGCTATGGTGACTCTGAGTATGTGAATTTCCTTGTAATTCTGTTGAATTTCCAACAAAGTAAATTCTTAGGTAAAGAAGGCCCCATATACAGTGTTGAATGGTCCCCAAAAAACCATGAATTTTGTGTAGTGTATGGATTCATGCCAGCAAAAGCCACTATTTTCAATTTGAAATGTGAACCTGTTTTTGAGTTGGGAACTGGTGCAAAAAATTCCATCTACTACAATCCTCATGGAAATATACTCCTCTTGGCTGGGTTTGGTAATTTACGTGGACAAATTGATGTTTGGGATGCAGTGAGCAAAAAAAAAGTTGGTAAGTTAAATGGAACTTTACTCAATAATTTGGAGGAGTTGATGATTTAGGACCTGCAATATTTTATTCAATTTATTTTGTAATCAAACTTATAATATGTCTAAATTTTGAATATGTACTATTTTCTTGAGAAACCTGTATAAATATCATTTTATTTATTGTGTTATTAGCAAAGTTAATAATACTGGTCAGTTATTTACTATATCAATGATTAATCTATGCTTGGTTAAATGATTATCTGAATTTTATTATTGTGGTAATAATAAAACATTCATTTATATTTAAATATAAATGCATGTGATTGCATAACAAATAATATGATATGGTACAAGTACTAATACCATCTAATACCATACCGCAATTTCATATATTCAAGGTACTAAATGAAAATCCATCAAACTAATAAGATGATTCATCATAATTCTTTTTTATTATGATTTTATCAACTATCAAAAATGGGATCAAAATATGGGATCATTTCTAAAAAATATTCTGAATGGTTTTATGGTCTCAAAATCAAATAAAATCACAATTTTCTCAAATTTGCCACTCAACTGCTGATCCCAGGACTCAGTGAGCAGTGTTGCCAGCTGCTGAAAGTGGAAGTTTGGAAACAAAAACACTAGAAGCCGCTAAAGCCAGCAGAAGGCCGGCAGGAGAAATTTTCGAAAATATTTTCGTGATTTAGTGACATTTTTGATCATATTTCCTCATTTTCAGTTAGTGTTCATATAAAAAATCGTAGAAAACTTTATTCACTTGAATCTGTTCAGAATGAAAGAAACAAAAACAAAATGAATGTAGGTGGGTACATTTTCCTATACAATTTCATTCTGTACTATTGTATGGAATGGTAAATCACAACATATATTTCTGGAGCGTATTTAAGGTTTGTCTTTGACCATATCACACAAGTTTTCAAACCATTTTGAATATACAAAATATCATTGAGGAGTGGCGGAAGTGACGAAAATGATGAAAACTAACCCTGTCGTCTGTCATTCTCTTCTCTGCTTATTTCTTTGTCTGGAATGTTTTCAATTATTCATATCCCTCGTCACCCCTTCATATGATCAAAATATCTCTATATAAACCACTATGTCAATGATGAGAACGTTAGAATCCCGACACGTCGCAAATCAGGTTGAAATGTCGCATTCACCCAAGCATTCACCTACCTTTAAAACTCTAGATTTAGCGACCAAATTGTGCTACTTCACCATAATTTAACCTACTCTGTATATCTTACAGTTCACGAGATCCCAATGATGTGGCTCGAATTCCATCCACCCTGTCTATCTGGAACTTACTGAAATTGTCTGGATATAAACATCAATAAATTATGATTTATTGCTTTCCTGATAAAAGGGGAAAGTTTTCTATAGTTGATTCATTCTTAGTTTGCTTTGAAGTCTGTAACAAGACAAATTATTAAATGTGAAAAATTCAATACTAGTTATTCACATAGACTGGTTGATCCTTGAAAGTATGTGAAATCATTTGTAGAAAAAAATGTATATAGGGTGTTTCAAAATTCAGTATCCAGATTTCAGGGGCGTATTTTTCAGTATATTTTCATATAAACATGTGTCCGCAACCGCTTTGTTACCGATCTACAGAGCGTTAAAATTACAAAATCTTTCCTCTTTATTTATAGCAAGCTTTATAGCTCTTCTAGTTCTTGAGATATTCAGATCAAATTTAAAATATAGGTTACGTTCAAAGGTTCACAATTTTCACATCATACAATTTGTGAAGTGATCATAAGAATCTACAGGGAGATTTTTTTCAGGGGTCTAGCCCTTTTTCATTCCATAAACTTTTTTGTGGTGCGTCACTGGTAGATTTTGAAATACGAAATAAGTTTTTCGTTTCGTTTATAAACTGTCTTGTCTCTTTTGATTTTTACGAATCTCCGACCGTTATAGATAATAGTTATTTGTTTTACTAGGCAGAAAAGCACAATATTCAATGCCGCGGCTGGCGTTTCATAGCTAGGCTAGGAAGCCAGCCAAGGCATTAAATCTGCTTTTCTGCTGTGTGAAACATATAATAAGGCAGTCAGTCTACATTTGCTGCCTTGTGAAACATAGAATTTTTTCTCCAAATGATATTAAACCAATTTTGTGTAATTTTTTTATTGAGAACTCCATCATTTTGTGCTCACCCAATGTCAGTGTCAGTTTTGATTACTGATTTCATTAGAATTCCTTGAAATGTTGCATAGCAACAAACTTTTCCTGCCTAGGCAGTAAAAGTACACCTTCTCTGCCTGTTAAGCAGCAGGAAAAAGCCACTATCCTATAACAAATCTTGTATATCCACCTCAAAAATAAGTCCCCGGAATCTTGATACTGAATATTACACAGTGATTGTGATTTAGTACTGTAGAATTAATGAGTCAGATGAAAGTTGAAGGTTGTATTTGCATTTGTAGCTAATTGTGATGCACCAGATACCACTCTCTTACATTGGGCAGCAGATGGTGAACACTTTTTGACAGCTACTACTGCTCCTAGATTGAGGATTGGAAATGGATACAAGATATGGCATTATTCTGGATCACTCCTATTTGAGAGACCCTCAAAACAAGAGGAACTGTATGACGTTCAATGGAAAGTGAGTTTTTTTAATATATTTTTGAAATAAATTCAATAAAACTATATTTATTCGAATTTCAAGAACTATCCAAAATTCACCTACCAAGAACCTACTATTAAAACTGAAAAAGTAGAAGGCATTGCTCCCAGTCAACCCCAGGCCTCTACGCAAGCATATAGGCCTCCGTCGGCAAGAAATCGACCAGAAAAAAAGTTCAGTTTGTATGATGATGATGATTCAAATCAACAAACAGGTAATTTATACTTCCCCAAGAAATTAACACATCACCAAAAAGTAGCCAAAAGTTTAAGATACATTTACATGGAAACCACCCTAACAACACCAGTACATCCTAGGGACTTCCCATGGACGTCCCTGATTTTATACTTGGACATCCCAGGGATGTCCTTTGTCGAGACAACGTACATACTAGGGATGTCCCAGGGACATCCGCTGGCCGCTAAAAAAGGCATCCAAGGGATGTCTTTCTGGTACGTCCCTGGGATGTACCAAGTACGATGAAAGGATATCCCTAGGACGTCCCAAGGATATCCCAGGGACATCCTTTCGACAAAAGAAAAAAGTTGTAGGTCGAGTAGGGATTGAACCCGGGACCTTTGGCTTATCATGCACGCACCTTGCTCCATTGGCTATCATGTCTCCTGAAGATTTATGTACTAAACAGATTCATAAACAGGACTTAACTACAGAAACCTGAATAAATACAACTTTGTTAGGAATTGGGTATAATTATTATCATTCTTGGGTGTTTAAAAATGAGGGGCATTATGCATGTACGGTTCCTGTCTGCGAAAAATGGTACTTTCTCAAGAAGTTCTCAGACTTATTTATTCTTTATTTTCATTACAATCATTTTCCGGAAGAGAAACAAACATTTTCAAAAAAATTCAACCCAATAGTTTGATGAAATTCAATGACTCTGATGTGAATGGATATCAGATACTCCAGGGACACGAATAGGATAACCTAGGGATGTACCGGGCGGGATGTCCACTGGACAACCACTGCAGGACATCTCCTGGATGTCCCAATCATGTCCTTGTACCGCGGGACAAAAAAGGGACGTACCTAGGACATCCCTGTGTTGTTAAGGCACTTTGGACGTTTTTTGTTTTGAATGACATGTTATTTCCTTTTGGTGTGCAAACTGTATTTGCATAAAAACCTTCCACTGAAGCCTAGGGATATAATCTTGGAACCTGGGTAATACTGATATTTTTTGTTACCTTGGTGTACAAATGCCTATTGTTGGTCATTTCAATAATTATAGCAAACTATTATATCCTAAAATTATTTCAAATTAGTGAAAAGTAAATAAAAATATTTTGAGAATTTTATTGTATGATCAATTTGCTACCAATGAGAGACCTTTGAGAATTCACTATAACACAATAATAATGTTATAGAAAATGACATAATATGTTATAATATTTCTTGCAGCACACAAAGTCAAAAAAACTGTCACTTGGATGATTTTAGGTAAGGAATCCACTCCTTCAAAGATTGCCCTTAAACAAAAGAAAAAACGAGAAGCAAAAAAAGCTAAAAAACTTGAAGATGTGAATGAAGGTGAATCTAAAGAACCACCAGTTGTAAGTTCCATCAAGATTGAATTGACTGGGGATCCTGAATTAGATAGAAAGATGAAGGCTATCAAAAAGGTATTTCTCATAAAATAAATGTAAACCAATGTTGACAACAATAATCATTTTCTAGAAACTTGATGCTATAGAAAAACTCAAGCATCAACAAGCACAAGGAAAATCTTTAGAAGTCAATCAGATTGAGAAAATTAAGGGGGAAGCAGATTTGTTACAGGAATTGGAGAATCTAAAAGTGTGATTTTGTCTTGAACATTATTTTGATTTTATCTATAAAAATATCCATTTATCAGTCATTTTTTATTTATGTGATCTCCCTGTTCTCAAATTGAGTTATCTCTATAACAGTTCTACTTTTATAATGAATTATACATATGTTATGGAAGAAATGTCTCATATAAAGAAAAACCAACATGAAAATAAATTTAATGATAACAGCTATAGTACATAAAAACAAAACAACTACATTATCAACTAATAGTACATTGGAAATATCTAAAATAGATTTATAAAAATATGAAATAGTACTTTGTACACAATATATAGAATTAATCTATCATTATATTTATTCCTATATAATTTTTGTTCAGTCACCATGAAAAGCCATTCATGTTGAGTCATTATTTGACTTTCAAATTCAGCATAACCAAATACAATGTTTTTACAGGTTGAAATTATTCAAAATAGATTACCCGATTTTCTTCCAATGTACAGAGCAGAAAGCATTCATATTTGCTTTACTGAATCATGTTTGGAATTCATAGAGACTCAATGATGCCCAATAATAAAGTACATAACAAACAAAGCTTCAGAACTGAATCAGACAATGAATATTTCACCCATAAAATTTATATTAATATACTCTTGCTGCCTACTTTGATATAATTACTTATAAGGTGCATCTGAAGAACAGAAGCAAATAATTTTAATGAGATTCTTTTTTTATCAGATCTCCATATATTCTCAGGCCAGAAATGCTTCAACATAAAATGGCCAATTTTATCTTGTAATCACAATAATGTTTAGAGTTTATATAGATCGATATGCTACCCGACGTGGAATTTAAACCCTTATGGTTCCATCGTTTATTTTATTATAAATATCTACTGTCACTTTCTCGTACACGCCTGTTGAACCATTCAAAAAATATATGCTATCACTCGTTTTCGATGGATCGAATCCTTCCTGCTGTAGGTCGTTCTTTTTCAGCTTAAATGTACCTGTGAAATACAATTTTGTTTACAAACATGTTTACAGATTGATATATACCTATTTAATATAAAAAACTGTCAAATCTTTTTTCAAGATTCGATACTGTTTATTTGGTCTTTTCAACAGCTAGTATTTAAGTATTGCTCATTTTCCCGAAATGCCGATAATAGATAAAAGTAGCAATTTCTGCATTTTGAAATTTGAGCTGCGCGCGTTTTTCATCTTCTTCTCATAACATGCTTTATTCTGGTTTTGGATCCTGCCTCTGGACACAATCTTTAACCCTATGGACTCTTTTTCTATGCTCCACTATGTCAATGTACAATTTTGTTGTTTTTTGTGTGATGGAATTTGACTTTTGACAGTTTCGATTGCAGTCTGACACCAGTGACGTTTGATCCATGAATTAACCGTTAGCCATGTGAAAGATAAAAATGTGACTGGTAAGTGGTAACAAATTGATCAAATAGTCCGTTTTAAATTCAAACTGTGGTGTGATTGATAATTCGGGTTCGTAGAACTTGTTGAGTGATGTGATTATGCTTTGAGGCTTATATTATTGCCGAGATGTATCATTTCTGAGAAAAGATTTTTCGCATAGTAAAGGAAACCGGCAAAGGAGAACTGGTTGACAAAGGTTAGTGAAGAAAAACCATCAATAAACTAGTAAATTATTACATGTTCCCTCTGTTCAATATTATTGATGGAACTCGATCTCAACTATTTCAAGTTTCGGAACTATCTATTAGATGTTTTACCCCAAGTTCAACTGAAATAAAAGTATTAATATTGTACCTATATATTCTCTGAGTATACCTACTCAAAATCAAGGAATTTATAGGTTTACAAGCTTGGTCTTCAGTAAGTACCTACCTATAGTACAGATATCTCCAACCAGCCCTCAATATAACAATAAATGACAATATATCTACTATATTTTACTTTGCTTTCACCACATACTTTGATTAACTTTGATTGTTTCAAGCTGTTTCAAGAAATAACTAAATAATATCATAATGAAAGTGTATAGGCTACCGACCAGTCGGCAAACTACCTATACCTTTGAGTAAGTGTATATAATCAAGGCAGTTTTTCTCTCGACTGCCGACCATTCAGTGGAATAAATTCTTTCTGGAAAAAATCGGTCGGCAACCCAAAAATAAAAGTATTGTATGCCGACTGGTCGGCAGTCTATTCTATTTTTTCGGGATGCCGACCAGTCGACAAACTCGTCGACAGATTATACTTTTTCTCTAAACTGTGGACCATTCAGTAGAAGAATACAGTCTTTCTTTATAACAAAATGATCCAAGGTTAGTAGCTTAGTGGTTAGACATTGCCTTGTCATGGGCAACTTGATTTTTTCTCACATTTAGCCGACAATGCCTTGTCAATCCTGTGATCCTGTTGTCAAATCCCATATGGAATAATTTTATTTTTGAAATATTTTTTCATCAGATTTTTGTTTCACTATTCGGTTAGTCTGTTTGGGTTGAGTATACATCACTTTCTTTTTATATTTTATAGTTTTCTAATCTAGCTTTTTATTTTTCCATTGTTGGTTCACAAGATTTTTTTGATCAGGTTTTTGTTCCACCAATAGAATTAGAATTTGAGATTAGTCTTTGAGACATTTTGAGCGCCTTTGTCTCAAAAGATTTCTTAGTGATGGATGAAAGTAGAAAACAAAAACATTATCTGAAGACATTCAATAAATTAGTTTCATTTGGAAAGATAAAAAAAACTATTTACTTTATCACTTGGAAATTTTACAAGTAGAATTACATTTGAAGTCTTACGATTAATCAAAAAGTTCTAAGGTAATGAGATGTGTGTTGCATACGTTTGCGGTGAATACACGCTTAATACCGAGTCGTATACTATACATCTTTTCAGTATTTCCTATGAAATAAACTGATTACGAGACTGATTATTTGTTGAAGAAATCGAGGAAGAAATTTCACTTTTAGTGTTCTCATAAAATTGACAATTGAATTGCGATTGTTTCACATAGAATCAAGAGAATCATGATTTCATATGCAGTTGAATCTAATTAACTTCCACAATTCAATGTAAAACATATATTATGATGGAGCAAATCAGTATAATACCAAAATGATTGGCTAGAATTAATACCGCATCACTATCACCTTGAAATCCGAAAATATAATCTTGTTAATCTTCCACAGACTTACCTGTCATATCTATTTTCATCAATATCCTGATGAAGATCGGTCTGGCATAGGCCGGCAACATTTTCTTGAGACCGCCGACGAGTTGTTTCAAATCCAACGTTTCTTCAGGATCGAAAACGGCCGCCATTCCCGCCCTGCCTTCTTGACCCTTGATCTCCACCCCGTAAACTATTACGTCCTTGTAATTCACCAGATTGCTCATGACGTCTTCGACCTCGGACGTGGACACATTTTCTCCCTTCCACCTGAACGTATTCAATCAATCAATCAATCAAGTTGAATATTATTTATCGTTAAACATGCCCTATAATAATTATGTTTCATTATATTCATAACTCAATGATATATTGAAATGAATTAAAAAATATGGTACAAAAAAGGGAATTTCACTTTTTGGTAAAAAACAAGGTGTTTGGTTCGTCGACGTATTTCTGGAAAGGGGTGATAGGACATTTTGAACATATTTAACCTTATATACTATTACACAAAGTGTTACGAATTTCGAGGTATCATCGTGCATGCTTTCAGACATTTTATCCGATTGTATCTCTTCTTCCTTAAAAAGTTGAATACGTATTTCATCGATATTGAATACGTAATGAGATCTAAATGTGATAAAAAAGTGTTTAGGATCGTTAGAATAGAAAAAAAAATCGTAACATATCCAACTTCGAATTTATCAGCGATGATTTCTTTTCTTGAACTGATTTTGTATATTAGTATTTGTGGTCTGGAAAGATCCTTCTCATCGGCTGTGAGTCGAATTCCCACCAATGTCTGTGGAGCAGCAGAAACAAGTACTCCAGGGGAATGCTCAACTCGAGCACCAGCAACATGAAAATCATAAATGAGGTCTCACTACCTACTTTTTTTTCACGCCAAGGCGGCAATCCGTTATGGATCGTACTCTATGTACTCGAGATATGCTGACCCAGGTTCATTCATGGAAGGTGTCACAAGATGAATCTCTATCAGATCATCGACACATTCTGTTCACGCTGGGGGGAATAAGCGCCCCAGAATAGGAAATATACAGGAACCCTCGTGCCACCAAGTGGGGCCTCTTTCGGGAGGAACTCAAAGGAATGCTTGTGGGTTTGCCATCGAAGTACGGGAGCAAGGCTGAAATAGATAAAGCGGTGTCGTATCTCAACAAAGCCATCACTTCCTCGTACGAAACAGCTGTCCACTTAAAGACAGGGCTACCAACGCCAGAACGCCATGATGGAATTCAGAAATAGAAAACCACCGTAGGCTCACAAGAAAACTTCTAATCAAAGCGAAACGCACCAACGTACCGCAACACTGAGAAGAATATAATTGTGCCCAGAAAGAATACAAAGGAGACATTCGGCGATCACAAAGAGACAGTTGGCGTGCCTACTGCGAAAAAGGAGTGGGCGTGTTGTCTATCAGATGGTCGAGAAACCACAACGGCAGAGGAAACACTGCAGCACCTCATCTTCACATACTTTCCGGATTCAGAAATATCCAACAAACCACCTTTGAGGACGAGCCCAGTGAGAAGAACTCATATGGTCTGTCAAACAGTCAGTTGCTGCTAAAGTACCAAGGGGATATCCTCAAGGAGGGGTTTTATCACCTCTGCTATGATGCCTGGTAGTGGACGAGCTCCTCATAGATGTGAATAAGCCAGGGCTATATGTGCAAGCATATGCAGATGACTTGGTAATAACGGCCCAAGACCAATTGGCAAACTGGCTAGGGAACCCAATTATAGGAGCCCACGATAGAGTGGAACAGTGGTGTTCCACCAGTGGATCGAGAGTCAATCTAGAAAAGGTTAACTTGGTATTATTCACTAAGAAACGCAGATTAGGAATACTTCCTGAGATATTTCTCTCGGGAAAGTGCCTCCAATACAAAGGCTCATCAAAGTACCTTGGAGTTACAATAGACTTCAAGCTCACTTGGAATGAGCACATTGCACACCGCAGAAGAGAACTGGATGAAGTCCAGATACTGGCCTGCCTGGGAATAACAGGTGCTCTGAGAACGACGCCTACCAGGGCTCTTGAAGCTATGTTAGGTCTGCCGCCTCTACACCTGTTCACACAACACGAAGCCATAAGAACTGCTTACCGACTCAACGGTGCAAACCAGTGGGTCGGAACAGAAACAGATCATAAATAAATGAATAAAGTTGTGGATACGTAATTTTTAAAGATTTTTATTTCTCCTTATGGACTGATTCACTCGCTGGTATGCCCCTGGAAAATCTGGATCAAATTTATTTAGTCCAGTAAATGTCTGATAATGGGTCTGTTTCAGAAAAAATGTATTTCATTATTTTGAAGTACTAATGTAAACTAGTCCACTGTTGCAGTCCGTTTTCTCCTCAGAGTTCTATAATTTTTTTCAATATTGAAATAGTTTCATAACATACAAATGCGGGACAATGCGTGACGACGACGACATATACCGGGATGCAACTTCATATTATGATACGACCAATTTATTGTTGGTATATATTTCAATACATTCCTATGGTAGAAGTGAATAATGATTTATTAGTAGAGTGTGAATACATTTTGATTGGTTGTTGGGATATAATATCAATCCACCTGAAAAAAATTCAAATATGGTGTGATGCTAAGTTTCTATGCTTCAATGCTACTAAAACTATTTTTCTGACTTCCTGATTGGATGATGAATTAAAATTTGAGGAATATATGAAGTCGTTGAACAAAAAACTACCTAATGGATGCTTTGCTATCAGAGTATTTGCGAAAGAACTTGGGTTTTCTATTACTAGCTAGCAATTTTGAAATGTGATTATCTTCATTATTGAAAAAATATATTTGTGACGATTTTCAGTAAAAAGGAACGCCTGAACTATTGATACATGAAACGATCAAAATAAAATTTTATAGTGTGAATTGGACTAGTGTGTACAACCTCATTGTTTGAATAAACCGTCAAAATGTCATTGTAGATAAAACGTTCTATAATATTTCATTATTCTTCATTTTTTATAAAAATATTGTGTATTCACACAAACGCTATAAGGTATAGAAATTTCAAACACTCTTACCTAAACGTATCGCCCGTCCTGTCCTTGAAGAAGAGATTCCCCAGCTCGTCAGCCACCAGTATGTCTCCCGACAAGAAAGCGCTGTCTCCGTGCTTGAACACGTCGCGCACCACCTTCTTCTGCGACGCCTGCTCGTCCACGTAGCCCAAGTAGGCCCTGGACGGGTTGTTGGGGATGATCTTGCCGATGAACACCCCCGGCTCGTTGGGGCGGCAGGTCATGCAGAGCCCTCTGGCGTCCCTGATGGGCTCCCCCGTGTCGGGGTTCACCCTGATTATGGATATCGGGTAGACGGAGGGGATTATGCGCGAGATGAAGCCTATGGAGCCTACGGTGTTGTCGACGTTGACTGGAAATTGAGGGTCATTTACTCGAGATTCAACGTACGACGTCGGATTTTTTTCTATTGCAAACTCCTGTAGGTTGAAGTTCTTTGAGGGTACTGTTTCATAGATTGGTTAACTTATTGTTCTCTCTCTAAGTACAAAATGCACTGTCAAATCTAAGAAGTATTGATTCAACTGTTGAGGAAGTTTAGTATACAATGGTAATATTGGAAACTATAATCTTCAGAGCTTTAGTGTGGCAGGAGTGCGAATTCAATGAAGGAAGAAAAACATCGACGTCATTCCAAAGTAGAATGAGACAACTCTATAGAGTATATGTGCCTTGCCATATAGGAACTTGCCTGTCATCAGATACAATCTATACTAGTTCGGAACTGACTTCAAGATACTGGCGAAACGCAACAAGGTTGACATTTTGTGTGTGATGGAAATTAGAGACCGAAGGTTAGAAATGCATTAAATGGAGATGAATGGGTGAGAAGAGGATCAAGAGAAACATTCACTGGTCCGAAGGTAGCATTTGGCATAGCAACAGCAGCTATACGTGTATTATAACTGAGTTGCCAAAAGACAACAACAGCTATATTGGAGGAAGATCATGGAAACAGCAAAATGATGATCACCAAATGATCATGTTGACTGGAAATTGGATGTCATTTGCTTAACGTACGAATTCAGAATTGTTTCTTCTGTTGGATTTAACGGAAGCATGTCATTGTAACATCGTCCATTCCTTGGGCAGCAAATAAGATTTGTTTTTGAACTTCTGGAGGTTTTGCCACTGGTTTTGCTCGTCCACGTAGCCCAAGTATGCCCTGGACGAGTTGATGGGGATGATCTTGCCGATGAACACCCCCGGCTCGTTGGGGCGGCCGGTCATGAAGAGCCCTCTGGCGTCCCTGATGGGCTTGCCCGTGTCGGGGTTCACCCTGATTATGGATATCGGGTAGACGGAGGGGATTATGCGCGAGATGAAGCCTATGGAGCCTACGGTGTTGTCGACGTTGACTGGAAATTGAGGGTCATTTACTGGAGATTCAACGTTCGACGTCGGATTTTTTTTTGTAGGTTGAAGTTCTTTGAGGGTACTGTTTCATAGAATGGTCAACTTATTGTTCTCTCTCTAGTAGTAGTAAAGTACAAAATGCACTGTCAAATCTGAGAGGGGTATTGATTCAACTGTTGAGGAAGTATAGTGCATTGGAAATATTGGAAACTATTATCTTCAGAGCTTTAGTGTGGCAGGAGTGCGAATTCAATGGAGGAAGAAAAACATCTACGTCACTCCAGAGTGAAATGAGACATATAGGAACTTGCCTGTCATTAGATTCAAACTATACAAGTTCGGAACTGACTTCAAGATCCTGGCGGAACGCAACAAGGTTAACATTTTGTGTGTGATGAAAATTAGAGACTGAAGGTTAGAAATGCATTAAAAGGAGTTGAATGGGTGAGAAGAGGATCAAAAGAAACATTCACTGGTCCGAAGCTAGCATTTGGCATAGCAACAGCAGCTATACGTGGATTATAACTGAGTTACCAAAAGACAACAACAGCTATATTGGAGGAAGCTCATGGAAACAGCAAGATGATGATGGCCAAATGATCACGTTGACTGGAAATTGGAGGCCATTTACTTAATATTCAACTTACGAATTCAGAATTTTTTCTTCTGTTGGATTGAACGAAAGCATGTCATTGTAACCTAGGGCAGCAAGAGGGATTTGTTTTTAAGCTTCTGGAGGTTTTGCCTCGGGTTTTGCTCGTCCACGTAATCCAACTAGGCCCTCTGGACGGGTTTTATATATATTATAAATACAATCTAGACTAGCTCGGAACTGACTTCAAGATCCTGGCGAAACGCAACAAGCTTAACCTTTTGTGTGTGATGGAAATTAGAGACAGAAGATCAGAAACGCAACAAAAAGAGAAGAATGAGTGAGAATAGGATCAAAAGAAACATTTACTGGTCCAACAGCTACACGTGGAATATCACTGAGTTACCAAAAACAACAACAGCTATATTGGAGGAAGATCATGGAAACAGCAAGATGATGATGGCCAAACGATCACGTTGACTGTCTGGGAGATCGACAATGATCAGGGTATAGACCTCAAGAAGAAATGAGAACAAATCAACTGAGTAGAGTTAAGAAACATTGAAACCGTATCCTCTATTCAGCTGGAAAAAAGTTCGTATTGACCGTTAGTCAGGGATTGATCTATACAGATTGCCAACTTGATACATCCCAAATAGCAACTGCTTCTTTCCACATTAAAATCTACTGATGTGCTTTTTAAGTTAGCTTCTATTTTACAATAAACTAAATTATATAGATATATTTATTCAAAATTTTAAGTTGGAAATTTGGCCAGACCAATATCGATACCAAAGTCTGGCTTGAATATGAACAATTTGAATATTTGATACAATCTTATCATGTAAATACCTATGTTGGCGTTCCCTTCAGTGGCCCCATAAAATTCGCCGACATTTTTGATATTGAATCTCTCCACAAACTCTGGCCATATTTGTGGGCGAAGTCCGTTTCCATAAATTATTTTCAGATTATGATCTTTGTCGTTTTCTTTTGGAGGTACTGCTAGAATGTATCTGCACATTTCACCGATGTATTGTGCTGCCTGAAAAAACGAATATTTGAGGATATGAAACAAATAATAACTTCATATTGGATTCACCCTGATTCGCTCTAGATTCGGTAGATTCAAAGTACAAATACATAAAGAATGATGATGAATCATAGAATATACCTAGTTGTTTTTGTTATGTACATGCACTAAGCATCTGGCATTAGATATACCTAGTTCCTCATAGTTATTTATTTGATTTTCTCAATTTTCATTTGAGAAACTGGCAAAAACTTGTAAATGTATTTTCTTTATGTGGTTCATAAGATCTGTCGAACTGTTGATGACAAATATTTTTATAACAGGATAGTAGGTGTACTGAGTGTTTTCATAGGCGAGGTATCTCTTTTGAAAAGATGTAGTACTTGTGGGACAAGTCGTTCCACAAATAAAAAACAACTAAATGAAACTTTCGAATTTAATTGAATGTAAATACGTTGTTGGGCTAATGGAATGGAAGAATATTGTCCAACGTGGTGTGTAGTATCAGTTGACCTGAATATTGAGTATAGTGCGTATAATATCAATGGAAATAAGACATGCTTATCTTATGACGAAAAAATTGAGACCACAATTACAATATGACGAAAAATTGTGTACTGACTTCTTAGGTCTCGTAATACGAGATATTTGAAAAAGCAAAGAGAGGATGACATGCTCTAAGACTTGTATTATCAATTAGGAAATCTTGGTTCATCCTAATGGAGAAGAGAATGACGTTGATGAACTTGGACATTGAATAGAAAATACGTGTGAAAAGTTTCGAACAAACAGATTTTTTGCCAAATGACATTAAAAGTAGCTTTTTGATGACACTCAACAGGCAGAAAAGGTGTATTTTTACTGCCTAGGCAGAAAACGTAATATACACCTTGGTAGTAAAGAATATCATCACCACGGCTGAAGCCTCTCTGGGTTATAATGATATTCTTTCCTACTTTGGTGTATACAAAACTATTATATTTATTTTTATTTTTATTCATTTATTCAATTGAACCAAGTAAAATTATAGCATAATCATATTTTTTAATAGGCACCAAGTAGATATGATGTCACATATTATTATCGACAGGTAGACATGGAGACGACAATTTTTTGTTTACAACCTTGTTTAATAGTTCATGTAATAAATTAGTTTCAATGTTGACTGTGAAACAAGCTTGAGCTTTAACCCGAATTCAGTCGCGGAGAATGAATTGAAACTAATTCCAGCAAAATCCAGAGATTCCTAACAAATGGAAAGTTAATAATGCTTTGATTCAAGCAGAAGCAGGGGCCAGGTAGCCGTGCGGACAGAGTGTCGGTATTCTAATTCGCATTCGCTTGCCGGTCGTGGGTTCGATTCCAAACGACTGCAGACATTTTTCTGATGGCCCAAGAAAGTGTTTGGAATCACACGTTAAAAGGTAAGGCCCCCGTCATTCCTAGCTCGCAGCCTCGCACAAGACTCTCGAAGACTTCTGAGGGTTGCTCGTAAGGGGGCAACCGAATGACGGATAGAACAATTTCAGAACAAAACAATTTCAGAAGAAGTCTCATGAAATATTGTGATTGAATACAGGTATGGATGTTCGTATTCTATACTTACAGTGCACTTATATTTTCGACAATCCTCAAAATAGCCAGATGCTGAGAACTTCTTTTTGATGACAACTGTTGCTCCATAGATGATCGCCTGACCGACTGTCATGCAACCACCTGCAGTATGGTAAAGAGGCAGAGGTGTGTAGAATATGTCCGAAGATTTGAAGTTACACAGCCAGTACATTGCGCAAACAATGAAGAAAAATCTGAAAAAGAAATGGACGAATCATTAATGAGTAGGCAGTTATGTTGAGTTGGAAAACAACTTCCAGAAATTAAAATTTGTGTATAGTTGAGGAGAGTGGAACTTGTATAGGTTATGGTGGATTAAAAACCTCTTTTAGGGTGCCAAAATACTAGGCTTCGAAAATAAGAGACAGAAATGACCTTTTTTTATATTTGTAAAATGGAAATAGCAATACTTCAAACTCGACCTAAAAGTAGAAAATTATAGACCTATTTGACTGACAACGCTTAACTGATGATAGCTCTCGTGATTTGATGAAGAATCAGATATAAATATAAGTGATGAAGTTGAAATTATTATTTTTTCATATGATTTTCTCTTCAAAATCTTCAATTTTTGGCGGTCAGTAATCACTAGGAGTAATGACCGATTCATTACTCCTAGTGATGTGCCACGTGGTGGCTTCTTTTATATTTTTACGCCACTGATGATATTTAGATTATTACTTACTACCTACTTCAATCAATGAACGCCCAATAGTAGGTCCCTTTTTTGATTCATCGTTCATATCTCAAGAACGGCACTTCACAGCAAACAATTCAATACATTCAAAATCGTAGCTGTTGAAATTGTCTACAAAATTGTGTCAGTGTGTCTCATTGTTTTCGAGATTTTCACAAGCGAATCATGTACATTTTTTGAAATTTCTCAAGAAACTGCCCTCTTTCTACAACACGTTCATTGTCTGAACTATAGATATTTGACCAAGAATAGGAGTTTTATTTGCATAGTCATTATTTCATCATTAATTTAATTTTAGAAAGTTGAAAAAAACGTTTTCACTTTTTGCATGAAATTATTATTTCTGTTCAGCTACAGAATGAGCACCAAGACTCCTCTAATCAACTCACCACTGAAACAAATGTTTTTTAAATAATCTGGTATTGAAGATGATAGACATGCATACCTTGACGTTGTGATGACAGCAGCTTTAGGTAGTCCAGTTGTACCTGAAGTGTAGATATAAACAACACAGTCCTGATAGCCCAGTTTGTCTGCAATTTGGGGCCTTGTCGTTGGAGCTTCTTTCAACAATGCGTCCAAATTGTGGAATTTCTGATCGGCAGGAGTTTGGACATTGCCACAACTTATTTGATATAGAGCTACTTTGGATTCTATCTTATCTAATATTTCAGTTACAGCTGGAAACAAATATTTTGTTATAACATTTTCATCATAACATCAATTAGCCATCACCACAAAATTTAATGACGTTACACAATCAGGTTGTCAGGTACACGTTTCGGTCATTGAAAATCTTCAGCCCTATTAAAACTTCTACAATACAAAGAAAGGATTGAAATGAAAGGAATAACATTATTCATTTATTTATATTTATTTAGTCGGTTTTGCGTCATTTTTGTTCCAACATACCCGTTCGACGAACAAAACAGCCCATCAATAACGCAGTCTATGAGCTCCTTTACGGGATTCAACAAGTCAGCAAGCGAACAAATCAAGGCGGCTGACTTCGTATTTCGTATGGAGTGCCGTTGAAATAGAGATGGGAGCGGGAAGAACGCGTCACGATATCCTCGCGGATTAGATAATAATATGCTCGCATCTCATGTATGATTTGATCAGAATACCTGAAGGTGGCTATTTCGTCCTTAGAAACCAGGTGTCATCAATAAAGTGACATGAAATGAGTAAATTACATCATAAGTAGAATGAGTTTGTCCTCTTTTTTTACAATTGTAAGAATGCTCTTTGCCATGACGATTTTACGAACTTTGTCGGCTTATATCTCAGAAACTAAGCAGACAAAACTTCCTAAACTCACATAATGTGCCATTCTACAATAAAATAGTGCAATTTCAGCCAATTCGACCGAGAGACAAATTCCCATGTTTTCGTGCTGGTTCCATTCCAAATTAGAAAAATATCTTTGCTTACCTTCAGATAGTTCTGAGCCGAAGATGATGGCTTGACTCTTGGCCACCGTGACAGAATGGACAAGAGATGTCAGTCTTAAGTTGGTGTTGATCAGCGAGGTGATTACACCGAGTTTGGATAGTCCCAACCACATGCAAACGAATTCGGGTTTGTTTTCGAGAAACAGGGCGACCACGTCCCCCTTTTTGTATCCGTGACTTTTGAACACATTCGCCACTTTATTGCTGTATTCTTCCACCTGAAAAAAACGCGATAATTCGTTCATTTCAACTATTTATTATTACAACTAAGAAAATGTCAAAATACTCAAAATGGAATGAAATGTTTCCTTTGCTTTTACTCAGATGGCGTTCGTCCATCTCGCAGATGCCGTACGCCTCTTGGGTATTAAATGATGGGATGTGTTTTGTTTACGTTGAGTTAGGTTCGCAGTGTTCGCACTAGATAGGGGTCATGAATGCTGCATCATTAATACCAGTCTATTCGACCAAATGAAAGATTAGGTTTATACAAAGTGTTTCCTTTGCTTTTACTCAGATGGCGTTCGTCCATCTCGCAGATGGCGTATGCCTCTTGGGTATTAAATGATGGGATGTGTTTACGTTGAGTTAGGTTCGCACTAGATAGGGGTCATGAATGCCACCTCATTAAGACCAGTCGATTCGACCAAATGAAAGATTAGGTATTCCGCTAATATCTCACTTAGTCACATTTCCATGAAAACTGATGTATATTTGAAATTCGTTATTATGGGTTCTCTATTCGAATCTATATGGAATATCATGAAACCATTCAGTAGAATTTCAGAAAAATCTGATGAATAGGTATAATAGTATTTGAGTTATTCCACCGTTTACATGCCTACATGTTTACTTGTCTATTTAATAATTATTATAAATGATATTGTTTTTAGTTACTAGTGAAGGCTTTTCCTGACGTCACTATTCGGTGATTTATTGGAAATTGAAGAAGAACATTATTTAAAGTCAGGAAATATCAGATACTCACAATACAAGCCCATTGGGGCTTAGGTGATGATGATATGTCCTGGTCTTTTATTTTCATTGTATTTTGATTGTACCAAACAATATGAAATAAGTTCAGAAACTCCTGTATGATGAAGATATGAATAAATACTTACTTACTTAAAATACTTACTTATACCTACCAAGCAAACATGATGTTTACAGCAAAATTCCAGAGATACTGGGTCCCGCCAATTCAATAGGGACAGTTTGCTATGTAAAAATTAATCCTTTACCTAAAGTTAATAATCCTATTGTTCTTAGTGAATCACGACCGATAAGTATCCTACCAGTGGCATCCACGATCATTGAAAGACACATCCATACCCTAGTGACATCCTACCTCATCTCTGATAATAATGAGAATGTAATTATTATAGAAATAGCCATCAGTTAGGCTTTAGAAAAAAAAACATAGCACAGGCATAGCCTCAGTCAGCATAACTGACCAAATCAAAGAGGTATAGGTATAGGTATAGATCAACAAAAAGTAACATGTATGGTACTGTTGGACTTTTCTAAAGCATTTGACACGATTGATCATGACATTCTCTTATCAAAACTGCAGTTCTTAGGATTGTCTCATGGTAGTATGAAATGGTTCCGCAATTTTCCATCTGACCGATATCAATGTGTGTCGGTACTCAAACATATTAAATTGTCGACATCCTCTCTCGAAAAAAATCTCATGTGGAGTACCGCAAGGCACTATACTAGGTCCCCTTGTTTTTTCTATGTATGTCTCAGATATGAAAATGAACCTACAATCTGTCAACTTCTCTGTGAAAATCATCATCATCAACAGTGAAATTCCAATTGTAACAGAAGCGAATAACAGCTATATATTTTGACAGTGGACTAAGTTTTGACAAATATATGTCATAAATAAGAGACGAATGGCTTGTATGCAACTCAAAGGGCTGTATCCACATAAGAATAGAAGTGTTGACCCGAATACAAAATTCCGATTGTGCAATAAAATTCAGAAGGTTCAAAACTCATGTATGAGATATTCTTATAGTATAATATACAGCAACACAACATTAGTATAAATATGAGCGATCGACGTATGCTTCATTTTCATACATTTCTTTTCAATATCATGCAATCCCAGGCAACACATGTGTGTCCATTGGATGTCCATGGGCATCCCTTGGACATGTCAACATGTAATACTATTACTATGAAGGGAATTTTTAACTCTATTCAATGGTATAAAAACGAATATGGCGCCCATGAGGAAAACAAAAGTATGGTAATAAAGCTCTGAAAATATTGATGATAGAATATTTCTGACAATCCCAACTTCTTGGTCATGATTAATTACCTGTTAACACAAAATTTCAATATTTTTCCTCTAATATATTAACCAATAAAATGAATGAAAACAAGAGTTTTCCAAATATTTAGGAAATAGCAAGACTGTCCCTATTAAATCATTGGGGGCGACCCTGTATAGTTTTGAAATAATGATGTAATGATTCGTTAAACTATACTAACTGACATTAACTTGAGAAAAACCTATATAAATGATCAATTCAGTTGCTTTTACTTTCGTGCAATGGAAATGTTCAGTTGTCCATTGCCATAATCTACTTCTACCTCAATTAAATTGACTAGTATTCATTACCCGAAGATATTTTGTTTAATATATGTATAATTTAAAAGTATTTAACAGCATGGACTTATCATAAACAGTAATTAAACGAATACTGTCTGAAGGTTAATCGAGTAGGTCGAACATTCATTTCATTTTTTCTCCTCGTTTCTACAAATGAAAATATGAGCATTATTTCCATATACGTGTAAAGAAGAATCAGATGCTTTGTCCCAAATACAACATTTTTTGGAAAAAACTGTTATAACTATATCATCGAGAGCATTAACAGATACAGAGAAATTGGTATTTCCAAAAGGTATGATAATTCATCTTCGAGATCAGATTCAATAACCAACAGTAATAATTGAACAATCTGCACCAAATACTTCCTGATGAATTTTCTAATCAGTACAAAATCATAAATTGAATAATCATTGAAAAAGAACACGAAATCACATAAAACATCACTAGAGTAGATAAGTAGTCACATAACTTGAAACACGATAACACAACAACAACATGAAAGAAAATGGTAAATTCAAACTCAATTAGAGTCATTTCCGGTTTGACCGGAAGTGACTCCAACTTTTTTATCTCAAATAGCACCCTGTATATGTTTCGCAATTTTTGATTTCTACTCAAAATGGGGAAGACCACTGAGAGAAGAAATCCGTGCAAACCTCTTTCAATCGACGAATCATGATTTACGTTTGATGTACAATCAATATTATGAGTTGAAGTTGAAGGGAATCGAATCTATATCGTTTTGAAATCAGCATATTTTATTCGATATTTCAAACAGCCAAATATGATGGTGGAGTCGTGACGTATTAGTCCCGAACTGTAGCTATCTCTCTCTGATACCTCGTCATTTTGCAGTGTTGCAGTGTAATTGGTCAGTTCAAGGACAATAGGCGTGTTGGGAATAAGACGTCGCACCAGTCAAACCAATGAATTGACAACATTTCAAATGGCGCAGGAATTGTGTGTTTCGAAATGGACATATTCTAATTCATTATTTTCATGGTCTTAGCATGAATGAAAAAAATCAAAATCAATTCGCTGGTAGTTTTTCACAATAGAGTTCACGATAATGTCATTTTAAAAAATCAGTGGTCTCCCCCATTACCGTTCCAACGATGTATCACACCTCGTATTTTAAATTTGATTTGATGGAGAAAACGACAATTGAAATTTCAAATTGAACGAATTGCAGTAGGCTACGATATTTTTGTATTCTTGATTTTGACTTCAATAATTATTTAAAAGTATTAGAATTATAGTAAATCATGTAATTTTCAGATTTTCATCTTTCGAAATGGCTGAGATAATCTATTGGAACAGGTATACTGAGACAACCGGTATATCGAAATTGAACACGTTGATAATTCCGAATATACTAAAATAATAAAACTAACCTGAGCAAATGTCCACTGCTGATCTTCGTACAGAATACATGGTTTCTGAGGATGTTTCTTGACATTTTCCAAAAAAACGTCAGCAAGTGTCAAGTCTTTACTTTGGAAGCCCTTAATTTGTATCAGAAGCCTGATATATTTGAGGAGGGAACTGAAATATAAATAACCAGATTGAAAATATAAATTCATGCTTTATAGAGATGTCTATGAAATACTGAAGAATTCAGACCATATGTGTATAACAACACACAAACAACTGAAACAATTGAGATTTTATTGAATTTCAACTCATTTCATCCTCTGGTAACTAACATTTTAATGATAGCGTGCTTTCGGAGATTGAAGAGGTCTAACTTTCGACACAAGGATTTGAATTTGAAGAACATGCTCACTAGTTTTATAATATGAACTTTTTCTTACTTTACGGCAATAAACTTTGTTTAATACTGACGTGAAAAGTGAATTGTTTAAAATAGCAGTTCCACTAATTTTCGGATTCGGTCGAAATCAGTAGATATACCAGGGCTTAGGCACTTAATACAATGGTATAACGTTATTTTTTTTTGTTCTTCAACCACCAATTGTTTTTGATCATACCTATACCTACTTTATACCAGCATCTACGGCATCATTTTAAAATCGAAATATTCCGAAAACGGTATACAGTATCAAGCTCTAATAAGAGTACCTCTTTGTTGTAAAATTGAATGACGTCAAAAAAGGCATGTTTAGAACTACTCGGTTCTACTAGATTCATGTGAATTGATTCTTCGTACATTTTTGTTAGTAGCCCCTATTTTGTATTGTATGATGTGACGTGGCGTTTGTTGATAATCAATGGTAATCAAAATATTCTTGCACTCAAGTTGCCACTTCATTTTTCAATTGCTGAACTTGAATGAAATTCAAATGCTGCAATTTATAATACCATATAAGATTTCCAGGCGCAGCAGTTAAATATTCACGAGGGGGCATTAGGAATATTTAAGGTAGAGCAAATACATCTTTATCACTTGCTTAAGTGTCAAGAAAAAATTAAGCTCAGTTCATGCGTGATGACATAGCTTATTTGATAAATCATCATCTTTAGACACATGAAATCCCCATACCAGTTACAAACGTCACGTAATGTCACACAATGAAAAACAAAGTCATCACGAATATTCTCACCATTATATCTAGAATCTAGATCTATCAAAAATTAACATTTCAAATTATCAAAAAATCAGTACTGTGTTTTTTCCTGAACTACTCTCTTTTGTCGATTTATATCCAACAAAAAAGTACATAGAATAAATTCACATGAATCCAGTTGAAAGTTGAGAGTTATATCAGCCAGTCGAAATCGAAAATTCATTTGTTTTTGTTTCATATTTTTTCATTGAACCGGTCAAAGTGTTCCGTGCAAATTGAAGAGCAGTTCTTACGGCTTTTTGTCTGATCTTTCTGTATGTGATTTCGAGAAAAGTGACCACAAAGTGAACTTTTTTGACATAACAATGAAACATGCATTTTTTCCGGATCTGGATTTTTTTTTTCATAATATGCCATCTCCGATAGTTTCAATAAAGGAATGTCGCTGCCTCGGTCGCTGCCGAATTTCAGCAAATTACGATGAATCATTTCTAAAATACCGGGCGTAAAATTTATATGATAATTTCACGTAATAATCTTTGTTATGGATGGTCAAAAATATTTTTCATTTAATACATCGACTCGTCTTGATTTTCCTTTCCCTATTCTCCATTTAGGTATGTGAGTCTCCTCATCCCACCGTGTATGATTGCTGGTCGGGTTTATATCATTGAAAATGTACCCAATTCGATAATGAATCGTAATATTGATTTATGTATACTTAAAGCAGTAGAATCGATGGTCATTATGTCATATCAAATATTTAAATTGTTGAACATTTCCAAGTTACTGAGCTTATGGTAGAAACGTGTGAAAAATATAGGCTATTAACGAATGGTTCAAATGGGTTCCTTATATAGTCAAGGTCTATCACATATAGGTGGCTACAAGTTGTTCAGGTATATTTGACAGTCTCCTAAACTCCTGTAGAATTTTTCATAGTGATTTACAAAAATTTCAAATGCAGAAATTGCAGGGGCTTCTTTTCAATCCGCCAGATTCTGCCATCGTGTCTAATCGCCACTGTCTATATAATGGAATTGTTCAGCCAACCAACCAATACATTCGAAATTAATTAATTGTAATTTCGGTTGTTCATTTGTTTCAAATTTGGATTGTCCTTCAGGACTGATCTATGACCCACAACTTGCTTAAACATTTGAAACCTGAACTATGCACTTAATGTTACCTACTACTGATCCTATCTTGTATGGAATGATGGCTATTATTAACCATACGTCTTAGAGACGGCATATCAGCATCCGATTTGTTGGATTACCCCTGCTTTTCAATATCGACCATTGTCCTACCACGTAATTTATGTCCACCCAACACTCATTCAGTACCCTGAAGTTGATCTATGTATGTGGTTCAGTTTTAGAAACATCTTGAGTGAAAGATAGATTGCCGTCTCGTTGACCCATAGTGACGTTATATATTTGGAACGTTAGTAGTTAAGGGTTAAATTAAATTTCAATTTATGTATATGGTCGACCGGCTTGGTGTCTATTGTTTATTAATTTTTTGCTTTTTCTTTGAAAAATCTGGTCTACATGAAACCCAAAAAGTTTTCAAATCTCCATGAAAAAATGCGTGAGATAATCAGGTAACCCAATCAATTACCTATTGCCGATATACGACCAAATAAATCTCGATAATCACCATTTCCAAAATAAAAGAGAATGCGATTGAAAATAATTTCAACTAAAAGTTGGTATGTGAAAATGAAATATCAAATATACAATCTAGCCTTATTCCACGAAAACCTACTGAATGCGACTAATAATATCTGATTATCATTGCAAATTAGATGATGACCTCAAAGAAATGAATCCTATGAATCCTATTTGAATATAATTGGAGAATACTTTAATTTTGCTGATTTTTTTTCTGTGTGTTAATTAAAATTCGACACGATTGCTGTTACGATTTGAACATTTGAAAAACATATAGGATATTTTTCGAAAATAAAAAAAAAACATTCCACTTAAGTATTCACTATAGACCAGCAGTAAATTTCTTAGAACGGTAGGTATCAATAAATTCAAAATTAGACGAATCAAATGAGTAATTGCATAAATATAAGATGTGGATATAGTGACAATAATAAATGAGCAGAGTGAAAAAATTATCATTATTTATATTTAATTGCATACCTATGTGAATGACAAATTCCTGTAGATTGAAGAAAGTATCGAATGAAAGATTTCTATTAATTTTATCAAGTATAGAAAATATTTTTATTAATTATATCAATCGAATAAACGGATGACTTAAAGATGGTTTAAAGAACGTACTGCCAACTGGAATGAACTTTTATTATACAGGAAGTGGTAAGATATACAATTTATTTTTTTTTATTATTTGAAAAGCTACACCGCGAGAACTACACCCTGTATACACACGTCGAATGTACTGTCTATCTTTCATTTCGTTTCTGACAAATTGATTGCCCTCATATTATTATAGCTCCATCTTATAGTTATTTATGTATCAAGGGCGTAAAATAGGCTTTTATGGACCGCAGCGTGTAAGTAATAGACCGAGCGATAGCGAGGGCTATTAACACGCCTAGGTCTACAAAAGCTAGTTACGCCCGAGATACATACAACATTTTATGCACGACCTGTATATATTTGATATCTCATGTAGGTATCTCTTCACCCCTCAAGCACAATAAAAATACATCACGGTTGCAGTGAGACTGTATTGTATCCATATCGCAAATACAATTAATCAAGAAGTATGGAATCAACGTTACCATGGCAACTCAGTCAATTTTTCGAAATAGGAATTAATAAATTTGTGTAATCATACATAATTCATTAGTGATTTCAATATAAATTCTAGTGATGAAGAAAGTGTGAATTGTACTCCACCAGAAATTAGTGAGGCAGCTGAGGAAGCAAAATCGAGTTTATTGCCAAGTAAATAAAAAAAAAAAATATACGACAAAGTATACGAAGAATTCGTAAGCTGGTGCGACAGAAATGATGTAAAAAATAAGAACTATATACAATTAAAAGTGTGCTTCTTGCCTTTTTTCTGGAAAAATCAAAATCTCGTAAGACCTCTGCCATGTGGTCATATTATTCCATGTTGAAAGCTACTTTAAATCTACATGATAATAGAGATATTTGTAAAAATGCAAGATTGATAGCTTTTCTGAAAAGAAAATCTGACGGTTATAAACCAAAGAAATCGAAGATTCTAAGCAGAGAAGAAATAGAGTTATTCTTGAGTGAAGCACCAGACGATTCGTACCTTATGATGAAAGTAAGTACTATTTTCATGCTTTCTTAATGTCAGGTATAATCTAGATTTCTATCGATATGACAGTGACATTAGCTTTACCACCAGCTCAATGACTTTATCGCCCGCCGGGCGCTAAAGTAGTCCGCGGGCGGTAAAGTCTTACTTTACGCCCGCATACCCGGGTGGTAAAGTGCTACTTTACGCCCGGTCGTGCATAAATTTCATTTAAAGAGGGCTTACATTTTTTATTGTCCGCCAAATCGCGCTACTGAAACGTGAGGTCATCAGGATTGGTCGAACTGATAAATATAGGTACTACTTTTCTTTCTTCTCCGTCAATGTAATAATTGGTCGTAAAGTTCCACTTGAGTTCTACATTGAGAGCAAAAAAACGTAAATCTTTCGATAACTTGATGTTTTCTATTTGTTCAAATACCTATTCTACGTAATAATATTTCGCTTATTTTCGTTAAAACAGACCATAGCATTCAGGGCTATCTGGAAAATTTTTGGAATTTTCGACTTTGACATTGACCTCATGTTTTAGTAGCGCCAACTGGCAAGAGTGAAGATTTAAGCCCTCATTCTGGGAATCCCTGTATAAGTGCATTTGTATTATAAAAAAACGAGTACTTAAAAGTATATTAGAGAGAGTATATTACAGTAAAGTTCTCATAGGTTCTCAAAAACACAAAGCATTAATCATTCCAGAATTACGTCATTTGACAGGTTGCTGAGGGGTAAACATTGTATTTTGTTAAGATGTGTCATATACCAGAATTAGTGGGATCGTTTTCCTTGGAATCCGAGTTGAAACCAGAAAGAATTTCATAATTTTGTTCGGTGAAACTGTTATTATATTGTGGATGTGGCAGGGATGGCCAGGGCTATGCTCATCGAAGGTATCCTAACAAATAGTTTGTGTACCCCTCAAGAAACCATGTCAAAATCACGTGTTCTAGAATGGTCAAATGGCCGAGCCAGTTTTACACAACTAGAACTAGGATGACGTATTTTTAATACTTGTACCCTTTTTTTATAATACCAATGTAAGCGTTTATGCATTTTGTTCATGTAAGGAGTTCCGAACTGTGAAATGTGGAGTGTGGATAACAAATTCAACATTCAACTCAGTTCCATTATATGACTCAAGGAGGTATGGAATTTATAGAACATTGCACGATAAAAATCGTAAGCATGAGCTTTTTTACCTCGTTTTTTACCCAGTAATGTAGTAAACACAAACATTTCCGGTATGTATGCATGTCTGGCAAGGTAACACAGTGAATGATAATGAAAAATCACTGATATTGCCAGGAGAATCTCAACTTTACAAAACATTCGCAATATTGTTTGACTCTGCTGAATTCGTTATTGAAATGTAGGTGAATTTGTGAAACTTTTTAACAACCTCACATTGTACCAGGTGCCATTGTAACGTAACGAATCAATGAATTTTGAAGTTGAATCAGAAATTGCTTCGAGTTTCATTTGGCATCACAATGTAAATCATAAAATGACCAAAATTAGGTTCCAGAATTGCTTATGGCTAGGGCATAGGCTCCCACATCAGGTTGATATAATTTTATCGTCTGATATAGAAGCATAAGTACGCTAGAAGTGATCCTTTAGTCATTCTGTCATTCATGCCATGATTATTGAAGAATTATTCACTTATACCATCGTCCACTAATATATTATACCACCTGATGAAATGAATTAAATAATGTACATCAACAAGTTTGTCAAAATCCATTAGTACCTATATTCTTCCCTCCATCGTGGAATATAGTAGAGTCACTGGATGGTATTAGAAGATAAGAGTTCAGACACAGCTGAGCTTTTGCCCTTTTCTATTTTTTGAATTACAATGGTTTGAGTGAATGAAAGAATAAGACATATATTCTGCTCCTTGTTTTTTCAACTTTCCTAGTAGCGCCTGATTGTCAGATACTATTTTAGAGGATAGATTTTCTGTCAAATCCATCATAGCCGCGTAGATGGAAATAGGGTATAAACGCCCACTTTGATTTATGGCGATATACTGTTCGCAGAACAACAGTTATAAATATGGGAAGAATATGCATGTGACAACAGTTTAATATGGCTAAATAGACACATGTATGAATATACTATAGCTAGTTCCTCATTCACACTTTCTCAATAGTTCATGAAATCATATTTCAGTTCTGTCGTTCATAAAATATATTGTCAATTTCAAACAATTCTCAATGAAAAAGCGCGGGACGACTATGGTGTTCTTGTCCAATGCAAGGTGTGTAACTGAATGAATCTAAACTAAACATTCAAAAGAACACTAACAGTTGTCATTTCTCTGTCCGAACTCTTATCTAACTAATACCATTTAGTGACTTTAGTATATACCTACCTATATTGAATAACTCAGAGCACGTGCGATCGCGACGTGACGTCATAATCAATAATGCATTTCAGCCACATGCAAAATGAAGCCCATAACTGTACAGTATACAGTAATGTTTGCAAACGCTACGGAACTGCGTCAATGACCTCGAATTTCCCGCTCAACCGTGACCTCGCACCTTTGCTTCCAGCTCGTCCTTGACCCAACATTCGTGAATTAAACTCACCGTAAATCTCTCGGTGCAGTCCTCAATGCAACGTACACCCAACGCCACTTGCCGCCCGCCAAATAGGCCGCCGCAGCGACAACCACCAAAATCGTCAGATAAGTCCATCCCAGGAAGTATCCGATGGCTGCGAGGCCTACTAGGACAGCCAGCGCTGCTGCCATGGCCGCCAACGATCGTACAGAGACGCGCACTGGCCTACCTGATTTCGAGCACCTCGTGTCGTCGCTCTTGGTCGGACTTCTGCCGCTCTCTATGTCATCGGCGGAGGCCGAAGATTCGTTGTCGATGTGCACCTGGAAGGAGAGGTGAAGCGACGCGATGAGGTTATGGTCATGTAAACATGCGAATTTTCGAGCGTTGAGCCGCTAGCGATGGAGGCCACAGTCCACAGTTGGAGACGCGCAAGTCTTTGACATGGACGTAGTGTGGGGAAGGCCAGAGGCAGCCGATAACGGTGAATGGGATAGGAAAAGGTCTACGGGCATCGCGGTCGGACTGAGGACTGAACGGTCGGACTGAGGACTGAACGACAGGGTTGAAGGCTAAACGACCGGGAACGGGGTTGAAAAACTTCGAATAATATTCAAATAAACCCTACATGAATGCATCGTCATAGTAATGTAGGTATACTGGAGAAAAGCTTTATAAAAAGTAGACGCCTATGTGCATTGTGCATATCAGTATCATAGCATAGCTTTCCTTTCAGTATTATTTAGTTTAAGAACGGTTTAAGTATGAGCGTGTTGAAAAACTCTGAAACATTTTGTAATGTCAGATTGATTTCACGGTACGCACAGCGCTTTAAATGTAAATGCTGGGTGGCGGAAATTTGATCGAAAGACAATAAATGATACAAAAACATTTGATAGAAGTCTTTTGATCGAAAGTGTTTTTGATAGAAATGCATTTGATCGAATGTTTTATGATAGAAAATACACTTGATAGAAACAGCATGTGATAGAAAATTCAACGGGGCTACGCTCAAGTTAGGTCAGTACGTTTGTGAAGATATGACCCTTCTTCATATATTTGAGAAGAAGGAGCTAGATGGAAATCGAAGCTATCAAGTGTATTTTCTATAAAATATTTTTTCTATCATAAAAGATTCGATCAAATGTATTTTCGGTGAAAAGTTCTTTCCATTTTTTGATTTTCGATCAAAAGACTCTTCTATCATTTGTCTTCCGATCAAATAACCGCCACCCGTAAATGCTGAATGCAGAATGCATTGAGAGAATCTATCATATGCAAAGACGTTGATGAATTCACAATCTGCGATGATTCGTTGTCGATGTGTACCTGATAGGAGAGGTGAAGCGACGCGATGAGGTTATGGTCATGTAAACATGCGAATTTTCGAGCGTTGAGCCGCTAGCGATGGAGGCCACAGTCCACAGTTGGAGACGCGCAAGTCTTTGACATGGACGTAGTGTGGGGAAGGCCAGAGGCAGCCGATAACGGTGAATGGGATAGGAAAAGGTCTACGGGCATCGCGGTCGGACCAAAGACTGAACGGTCGGACTGAGGACTGAACGACAGGGTTGAAGGCTAAAAGACCGGGAACGACGTACACGGCCGAAAACCTTCGAATATTCAAATAAACCCTACATATGAATGCATCGTCATTGTAATGTAGGTATACTGGAGAAAAGCGGTATAAAAAGTAGACGCCTATGTGCATTGTGCATATCAGTATCATAGCATAGCTTTCCTTTCAGTATTATTTAGTTTAAGTATGAGCGTGTTAAAAAACTCTGAAACATTTTGTAATGTCAGATTGATTTCACGGTACGCACAGCGCTTTAAATGTAAATGCTGAATGCAGAATGCAATTATCATATACAAAGACGTTGATGAATTCACAATCTGCGATGATTTGTTTGTCGATGTGTACCTGATAGGAGAGGTGAAGCGACTCGATGAGGTGGTGGTCATGTAAACATGCGAATTTTTCAGCGTCGATCTGGCTGCCTAAGAGAGTGAGGTCGCTGGGATAGTCGAAAAGGACTATTGGCATCGGTCGGACTGAGGACTGAACGAACGGGTTGAAGACTGAACGCATAGGGCACTTATTGAATCATGTGAATGAGGCATCGATTATTCAGTTAATACCTAGGTATATATATATGGATTTCCATCAAGTAACGGCCGATTTTATCAAAAAAATAATACCTATATGTGAGTATATTAATACATCGTGATAGTAATGTAGGTGGGTACACTGGATAAAGGCGGTATAAAGAGTAGATAAGTAGGTATTTTAATTTTTGAATAGTGAGGTTACACATATTTTTATCAAGTTAACAATATTTAGTATTATTCAGTTAAAGTATGTTCATGTTCTAGAACCCTGAGACATTTTGTAATGTGAGATTTGGTTCATATACAGCAGTTTTGATGTCAAAGCAATGAGAATTTTATCTGCAAAGAGGTTGATGAATACACAATCTCAAATGCAATATTTATATCATTCAAATACAGTGTGAACTGTACAGGACCAAAAAACAACCTTTTTTGCTTGATAGTACAATGTTAACTTCAGTAAAACGGGGGATCGATTCGATAATAAACTTGTGAACCATTGTAACCTATCACCAAATAAGCCATAATACTCTCATTTTGAAAGCAAAATTGAGACATGAAATCAAGGCTCTTTCAAAGTCCGAAAATACAGAAACCAGTTTTCTATTTGGAGATGGTGTATTGAAGAACACTTTTGATCTAGAACCTGTTTGATAGTCAATCGATAGATTGTTATCTTCAACGGATGTGAACATTGGATTGAAAACATCTAATTCTGAGAGTGTATAGGGTGTTCATAGTAAGCGGAAGTTAACGACTTATTTGTATTGCTCACTTGAGGCACTGGTACTATACTCACTGTACTCAATAAAATAGTTTCTAAATTTTATAGAAATGAGGCTCAGTGAAGTGGAAATGTAACCAGTAAAAGTGAGTGATCGAATTTTATGTGAATTTTCAAGGTTAAATTATCAAACACTGCCTGGCTGATGCCTACGCAGAGGTACCAACAGAATAACAGATAATTATTCATATTTGGTTCACTTCCCAAAGAGAATCGTGTAAAGAATTCAGGAGGCTTGAATTTAATATAATGGCATCTAAGAGAGGATAGCTGCATTCCTTTATAAGGTCTTAGAAGTTTGCCGAAAGATCTTAGAGGACAACTAGGTTTCGAAAAACCATTCAATTCCTTTTAGACTTTTGGAGTGATCACCAGGGAGTAGGGATTTCGGATGATAAAGCCGAAGTGATACTCATCTGATTGCCATAATGCTGTGAAGGCATGTACAGTTGCGAGTGGCCAGGATATAGAGAGATACGTAATTAAATTTAGAAGAAGTATAATATGTCCTCTCTGACTGATATGGAAAGGACCAATAGAGGTCAGTATAAGATGTACATCAAAAGTTTGAAGACGCGCATAGACACAAATACCATATCTGATAGCTGATATTCCCTGGTTAATAATACTATAAGACCGTTTTAGTTGAGCTAATAATGGATCATTCTTACAGGCTATGAAGTATGAGGAGTAACTTCTGATATGAGCTTTGAAATGTTCGCATCCCTACAGGAGAGATCCTGGTCAGAGCTAACTTCACTGTTTTTTTACGCCATGTGATTTATGATGTTCTACTGTTCTATACAGTGACTATATCTATCGAAGGCAATGGCGACCTAGCGACAATATTTGTCGACGATATGATTGGCTATGTCGCTGCAGACGCCATTGGGAGGCAGATTTTCTGTAGGTTTAAATTGGGTTTATATGGTTTTTGCGTTGATCCAGTGATTTATGATTCTAGTTCACTTTTGTTTTTCAAAATGTTTGCATTTTCTTCATCAAATAAAACGTATAATATCCACTAGTAGGCAAATAATAACCTAACATTTTATGTGTACATACCTACCCAGTTTTATCTTGCAATTTTCGTTTCAGTTATAATACAAAATGCCTAGGTGTGTAACTGTGGGTTGATAAAAAATTCCCAAAATACCATAATTATTGCAGAAAGGAATGAGTAATCAAAACAAAAGCAAATGGGTTCCCACAGATTCTTCTTTTCTCTCTGTGAGGTATATATATTGTAACTATCGAAATATAGGTGATTTACTTAGGTATATTGGCATATACTCAAATAAGTTTTTTTTTTCAGTCATATTTCGAACCTAGTATATGTATATAGGAGAAAATCAGATAAGATGAAAGGCTGAAAGCTGATGCTATAACAACTATATTTTCTTTCACAAAGCCTCATACCAAACGAAAAGCTCCACTCAAGAGAAAATTGCTGATAAAATTCGAATCAGGAATTGTGATAAGTGTACTTCAAGATCTCATTGAAGGTCTCAGTCAAGTGCCTATTAATTTCTAGAATTCTAGAGCGTAGTTGTGTTGATGTAGATTTTCAAAAATAATAATGATGTGTTGGTAAATTGAGAGTAAAAATATAAATAAGAACCCACTGAAGAGGCAAGCAATTCGAATCTTCGCGCACTAATTTGCCTTCTAATGGACCTTAGTGTTCTAATCAGGTTACCGCCATCTAGTGGCTAAAGTTTGGGGTAGGATATCAGAGTAGATCGCTGTTACCCACAGCCAACATGATACTACAAGTTGACCACTCTGCTGACAGGTGGCACTACCTGATATTCTTATTATACTTATTCTGTACATGAGTGGAAATAAATTCACCGCTCCTTTTCAAAGAACAAGATATCATTACCATAATTACAAAGAAATCTAGGATGGATGAATTGCTGTCAGCTGTTGGAGATGGCAAGATTCAGAGACGAACATATATTTGGTTTTCAATTTTCTTCTCGGAAATGATCATGATCGAGAAGTTTAATCTTTGGTTGCTTCATCCAGAAAGAAATATAAACTACACAAAATAAAATGATACTACTGGATTCGGAACGGTTCATTGCAACTTTGTGTCTTTTGACACATAGTAACTTAACATGTTTCCATGAAATTCTACTAAGATTCAGAGTTTTCTGCTCTACCCTCAATGGAATCCGGACACTTCGCCGAATGGACAAGTCGCCGAAATTTCGGTCAAAACGCCTAAACAGATCGGTGGACACTGCCGAAAGTGATATGCCGAAAATCGCCAGTGAACAAGTGGTCATAACGCCGAAACAGCTATTTGGACACTTTGCCAAAAATTGACTTCACGCCGAAACAGCTGTTCGGACACTTCATTTATTTTTTCATTTCTCGCTTATATTATTCATATTTGAAATGAAAAAAAAAATTAAAACTATCTTTGCTCGTGACTGAAGCAATTGAGATGAACGAAATCGAATACTAGAAACGTTATTAAAATTTTCCAAAACGTTTTTATTTGATACATGTTTATACAGGGTGTTTCGATCCGAAATTGGGGATATGAATAAAATGGGGTGTTTTATGATATAATAATCGAAACATCCGCTTTTTCAAGAGTTGAAACTCATGCTGACACTCCGAAATATTATTCTACGATTTGGTCGAAATTTCACCAGAATCGGACAGGAATTGAAAGAGTTGCAGGGCGATCAATTTGGTGAAATTTTTGGCTGGCTATTTTTTATTGGCCGGTGAGTGTTTTATATATTTTTCAAGGCGTTGTTTTTAGCCTAGAGCGTTCAATTGTTTTGATCCGACCTTGATTTTAACTCGGGATATCCGACATGAAATTTTCGTTCATATCATTGAATCACCCTGTATATCAGTCAAATAAAATTAATCTATGTAAATATTATAAAAAAATATACATGGCCTTGAAGAATTATTAATATAGCCATGACGACTGATATTTTGTATTTCTTAGAATAACTATTTAAACACGAATGATTTTAGTTAATAATAATATCTATTATTGGTCCACACTCAACAGGTATCGAATACAATATTGTCTCACTTCTACAATTCCCATTCACATTTTTGCATATAACACAGGGGCGTCATTTCAGTGAATACCAGGTGGAAGGGGTCAAGAAACTCAGAAAAAAATTTTGTGCGGTGAAAATGCGCCGCAGACAAATTTTTTTCTGGTTCGAGGTCAAATACCTTCAGACTGAAAATTCGGTTTCTTCTAGAGTGATAACAAATTTCTGTGTAGGTACCAAGAGGGGGTCAATACAGTCAGACAACATTTCTGTATGGTAAAAAAGGAGCTGCAGTCGAAATTTTTGTTGGGAATCAAAGTCAATTGCCTTCATATTGAAAATCAGAAATCTTCCATCAGAGTAACAACTCCATCACATTATTATGTTAAAAATTATTCAGTTTCAAGTTTTTTGTAATTGATATGAAATGATCTGAAAATAACAAGTGAGGTACGTAGTTTTCGAAAGGTATCAAATTAGTATAGATGTAGTTTTCATTAGGTATTAGATTAGTATAGAGGTCAGATAATTTATACGACGCTATAAAAGCAGATGATATTTTATCATTGCTCATGTAAGATGGAAGTAGAGGCCATGGCATCATATCATGAGCATATTTTTTTATATTGAAACTATCATTGGGCACCAAAGATGTGTATACGACGCTATGAAAGTTCAGAGAATTGGAAATTTTTCCCACAAACTACGTACTTAGCCCACTCGACTGTCTTGGTTTTTCCACACAAACTACGTACCTAGCCCACTCGACTGCCAATAGGGACTAAAAAAACAAAAACAAAAGAAAGTTAAAACAATGCCAACATATTTCTTCTTTGTGGAAAATCAAGACAGTCGAGTGAGCTATGTACGTAGTTTATTGGCGAAAAATCAAGACAGTCGAGTGAGCTATAGGTACCTAGTTTATTGGCGAAAAATAGAGACAGTCGAGTGAGCTAGGTACGTAGTTTATGGGGAAAAAATCAAGACAGTCGAGTGGTCTTCTTTAATTTTTTAGTTTTTTCATCGTATCTCCCGAACTATTGAATGCAGAGAAGAATGTTATACGGATTTTTTGTAGATTCTATCAAACGGAATAATTTTAGTTCTATAACATTTTCAGATATTTTTAGTTGTTCTCGAGATATTTGGAATTATCTGAGAATAAAATTTTCAACACTTTTGTTCCATCTTCCAATCAACAAAGGCAAAAATATTTCATGGTTCAGTGGAAGTCGATGAGCTTCATCTATCGATAATCTTTGTTTTTCAATATATCTTCATGGTACCCTATGGGTCGTTCAAATTTTTTTTTTCATATTTTTTACTTTATTTTCTGTACTATTGGGTTTACAGAAAAAATTATGGGAAATAAAAAGGCAAAGAGGCATACGGTGCATTTTTCAAATTTGGATTTAGTCTATTGGTTCAGGAGATATGTCGTTTTAGAGCGAACCGTGTGTTTCGGAAAATCTCCTTGAAAAACCCACTTGGAATTTTCCGACCCTGCTCAATTTCAATAGCCTTCGTCTCTCCCTGATAGAGTTTTTTTTCACAAAAAATTAAATCGATCGGACCACTTTTGCGATTTGTAGAGTGGTTACAAGAAACTTCCGGTGAAAAATCGAAAAATCCCGAAAAACCACCTTAGAGTTTTCCGATTTCCTTCATATTACATATACAACCCTTTTCTGATCAGTAAAATGTATCATTTACAGAGTAAAATAGATTTCTAGTTGTATCACTAGTAAGCATTGAACTTACGACCTATGTATGTTGAATGAAACACTTATGCATACATTTGAATTACTGTATATATTCACCTTCCCATTCGAATTTCGGTCCTTGCTAGTCATATTCGACAAGAGAAACAACAGGCACTTTTTTCAACTAAATCCACATACGCTCAACGCAGATACATCGCAAACACTATCACATCAAATATAAATAGTGCACTTGCAACTATTTGCAACTTTCTCAAGAACAAATGAATGCACTTTGCCGCGCCGCGAATTTTCTTGCTCCAAAGCCGCCTTCGCACAATGCGCGGCGTTTTGAAAATGAACCGTTTTCTGTTCGCCGGTCAGAGTGGTCAACATTCGTGTTCCGTGTTCTTGTGTACCTCAAGGTTCTATGATCCAAGCCTCAAGTAATGCGTCCGAAAAACAATGAATCTACTACACAGTATTTTACCCATTCGATGATTGTTTCTAACGAGCATTATAGTGTTATTATTTTTGCCGAGAGTAGAAATTTCCGTTTATGCTTTCTTAACCAACTAAGTAGGTGAAGATATACCTAGCGAGCGATACTTTCTATAGCGAGGGGAAATAATGTCAGTGTGCTAGAGTAATTTCATTGTTTTTTATTTTTGTACATTGCGGATGATGGTTTTGTTCGAAAAGCGAATACCCAATTTCCAATTTCCGGTCCCAATTTCTTTATATCCTTTGATTATACGAAAAATATAAGGCTCGTTGAAAGTATAGGTACAAAAGAGACAACCTTCAGAACTCAGTACTTGTTTTTGTCAAATCTACAGATATGCCACAAAAAGTATCACTTCAACTTCATTTAAAACAATAATCATTGGCATATCAGAGTGTCCGACAGGTAGGTATGTATGGTGTGTTTGAATACACTGTTACATGCACATACCTATTATTATCGAAATTATTCACTGTTTTCATAAATCATCTACTTGTAGTTATTTCACGTGTGTCCTAACTTGCTTCGTTTTTGAGATAGGTACAGGGTTTTTATATTTCCATGAAAAATATGTTTTCTATTTATCATAGATGAAGAAACCCAAAGTCATCTCCACAACATTCATTTGACGATCAGAGATCGAACACATAATAATAATATTAGTAATAATAATAATAATAATAATATATATAGAGGTACATGTTTCGGGTTTATATAAACCCATCATCAGCCGAATACAAGAATTCAGTTCAAGAAAAACCAACAATGACATAGGATATAGATAGAAAGAATACTTACTCACATGGAGATGAAAAAGTTGAAAAATTGATAATTTAGACAATAAAATGGCACAAGACACAGACGTATGCACCATGATCTGGAAAAACAATGGTTTAGAGGATGTAAGAAGGAATACATTGAAAACTTACTAGGTATAATATTTTTTTTTTGTTTTTTATAAAAGCATTAAAAGTTTTTATTTACGTAATGGGTCGGGTAATTAATTTTATAAGGGCCCACGTGCCCTTAAATTGCCAAAGTTGACAATAAAACATTTGAAAAATCAAAAAAGTTTGATGGGGTATCAAAGTTAACCTGTGAAATGATAAACTCGAATCACGTGTAATAAATCCGGAAAAATTGAGTTGTCAAAAAGATATATGACAGACATCATATGTCATGCCAACCAGATCATTTATTTCTCAATTGTCTTTTCATCCATTTGAATGAAACGTTGTGGTTTTATAAATACACTCACCGGCAAAAAAAACCGGCCACCAAAAAATTCAGTCAAGTTGTTCGCCTTGTAACTCCTTTAGTTCTTGTCGGATTTTGGTGAAATTTTGATCAAATCGTAGATTCATGTTCCGGAATGTTAACCTGAATATGAATTCCCAAAAAAGCTGATAGCTTGGTCATTATACAGGGAAAAACACGAGTTACTCATTTACCCATAACTTCTTAACGCCCTGTGGCTGAAGTGAGTGGTTGAACTCCTCTTCATTATGTCTTGGATTGAAGAGTATTCTTTTCTCATCACAATAGTTCTTGATTCACGTCGGTATCTCATATTTTAGAAAGGATACGAGGGTTTTAAGAAGTATGGAGTTATTCAAGTTTTATTAACAATAATCAGAACGTAGATACACCTGCACAAAAAACCTTAATTACAAAAAACAAATGAAAAGTAGATCTCCTACTCTCCTAGATGTATTCAATACCGAGTATGCCCTCCTCGAGCTTGAATTACAGCATTTAATCGCCGTGGCATCGAGTTGATCAGATTTCTCAAGCAGTCTTGAGGAATTTCCTCAAATTCTTCTTGAAGGGCAAATCGTAGCTCTTGAAGAGTCTCTGGCAATGCCGGACGTAGACGAATGCGCCTCTGTAGTTCACCCCAAAGATGCTCTATAGGATTGAGATCCGGGCTGTATGCTGGCCAGTCAAGCTTTAGAATTCCGACCTCATTAAAATACTCGGTTACAATTCGAGCAACGTGTGGTCTGGCGTTGTCATGCATCAAGACATAGCCGTTTCCAATAAAATGGGAATATGGGACGACACAGCTTCTTGTAAAATATCCTCCACAACTTGACTAAATTTTTTGGTGGCCGGTTTTTTTTGCCGGTGAGTGTAGTAATATGGAGCTTCTTCTAGTGCAATATGATTCGAAATAATATTTCCAGTGGCGTCACAGTGGGTAAATTTATCGATATTCATGGTGAATGTCAGTGTACACCACCGGTTCTTTCAAGTTTCATATTTTAAATCTGTGGTACTGGTACTGGTGGGGGACGTTTCCACGTCAGCAACTAGTCCCCAATGGGACCTTTTTGCAAACCCCAAGTGTTTTCAATGACTGATGTGGTTCGCTCAAGAGAGCTGGCTAACATCCTTTTCAGGCACCGCCCATCAGCTCTCTTTTCAGAGTTTTTCAGCTGTGTTTCGTAGGCTAGTAATGTACTCACTACCATATGCGCAGTGGCAGGCCTGCTAACTATCATCGTTAACCCCCGAGACCGAGGTCTACTTAAGCAGCTGGCCCGCTCTCACGCTCAGCTGGTAATTTTCCACACCCACCTACATACACCGTCCTACTTCTTCTCTGATGCTCACAACCACATCATCATATCTTTCTGCGTGTTCTGTGTAGGCTTTGTTACTAACTCCATGCGCCACTTTAGGAGCAGCACTGTTAATTGGAACGCAACAGCGAATCGTGCAGGACTATCCCCAGCTGATGCTGTGGTAAAAGTCCATGGTATCTCAAATTGGAGTGAATAAATTCATAAACAAGACACACTAAGTCATCTCCACAAATTTGTGGAGATGACTTAGTGTGTCTTGTTTATGTTTCATATTTTTATCATATTGAACTATTGGAATATAACAATTTTTTTATCCTCTGTATGATTTTTGTATCTAGCTTAGTTTTAGAGGAAACAATAATAGTTATTTATTATACCAGGGAAAAAAGTAGTAGATTTTACCTCCAGGTTGTGTTGTCTCCCGACGCATAGCGGATGGAGACAAAAAACCGTGGGCTAAAATCTAATATTTTTCCCGTGTATAATACACTATTTTTTTCTGTGACAGAAGAAAGATCGAATCAATATTGAGAAGATATCACATTATTTTGAAATCTGAAAATTATATCGACGTGAAATTTTAAGTTTTTAACAGTAGGGATACCTGCGTCGTAGGCATCTTTATCATTCTTTTGAAGTAATCAAATATCCGATGTCACTTCTGTCAGTCTAATTCTGTGATTTGATTTCAAAAAATTGCGAATTTAGTGGTTGTTTAGTAATATACGTGACCGCGAAGTCGAATGAAAGATAAAAGGACTTGCAGTTCTTCCTCGGAGACGGTATTATTGACTCATTTTTCGGAACTATAGCACAACGGAAGCCATCAACAGTGTATATATATGTGATATATATCCGGGAATGAAGTACTCACTTATTTCCCACGGGAAAAAAGTAATTTATGAAAAGTGATATTTTATATCCTGCCAACAGAGATGAAATACCAAACTTTTTTCCCGTCACAAAAAAAAATCGATTTGACACCAAATTTTAAAGTAGGGGGGTTATAAATAAAAACGATTAATACTTCCAACTTCAACATCCTGTATCTCAAAAACGGAGCAAGTTAGGACACATGTTTATATGAACTTTATTTGCTAGAATGTCACAAGGAAACACCCCTTGAATTTTTTCGGATTTATTTAGATACACCCTGTAGAACATCCTCAGAATGATATAAGAAACTTCAGTAAAGTTAAAAAGAGCTACAAATGTTCCAGATTCTGCTAACCCGTCGACGAAAATCATCTCGTATAGTACCGCTCCGCTTCGTTCGTGCAACTGCGGTCGCGTGCAGAAAAGTCCTACTTTACGCAGTTGTTATGTAAATAATGATTTTCTACAATAGTGATCGGTGGAATAATACTGCAATCGTCTAAAATATTATCGAGTGGCTATGTATACTTACTTCATTCATAATAATGTTTCTTGGGCCAATTAATCAATCAATTCCTATGATAATGCGAAATCAAACTCATCCTATACTTAACTTCAACCCAATACGAATTGGTGAATTACTAGAAACTCTTTTACTGTTTGTTAAGTCATTTATGAGTCGCCTTATCATTATCATACAAACTGATGACTTCTGGCGACAAATGAGAATGATATGGTAATCTATAATAGGTATATCATTTTTTTATGTTTACATATATACGAGTGAAATATGATATGGCAATCAATAGAGCCTAGGTCTTTTCCATAAAAAATGTACAGGGTGTTCTCAAAGTTGAGTCATTCATTCTAAATATATCTTGTAGAACTCATAAAGATAAATCAATGAACTTATAATAAGAGTTAATATGAAAGTTGCCAAAAAAGCAATAAAACAAAGTATTAAAAACAATTTTCAACTGAAAAACTTGAATTCGACTATGATGTTATTGTTTCGCTCACTGCCTGGTAAAAACAAACAATGGGGCTTGGTTCATATCAAGTTGAAATCCCGAAAAAAATTCATTTGCGAGGAATAATTGAATTGGAAGTTTCCATGATCATTATGAGTCAATTTCTCATTTGTTATTTTGTTCATTACTATAAGGCTGACAGAAAATTCAAAACAGCCCATGAATATCTTAGCTGATAACGTTAATCTAAATGTCATGTTCACTAGCTGTTACGTTAGAAAAAATTATCGAAAGACAACTCGTATATTATAATGTATAATACACAATGAAACATCGAATTTATATCATGTAATGGTTGACATCATTACAATACAATGATTCTTTACTATACTATATTGAATGGAGTCATGATCACTGAGTTAGGTGAATATATTATTGAATAGAATCAAGGTCCATATAATGCTTTATTTCTGACAGTGACATTATAAGCTTATATCGTCATAGTTACGATATGTATAATGAGGGTCATAACTCCCTTGGGATGTTATAGATGCTATAATTCTCTCTAGCTAAAATTAAATAAGAAATGCATAGCAACAACCACGCAATAACGTAGCAATAAGGAATCTCCTATTCGCGGTAGTCAAGATCATCATCTGACGTTCTGATGACATTGAAACTATACGGAAAAACATGTCTAACTTCCAATCGGGAAGGTATCTAATGAATGAAGTCAGTCAGAAATAAAATTATCTATGTACCACGGGAATTATAGAGCCTTAATAACCTCTGGCAATTGCTGTCCCTCGGGCCAGAGGCCCTCGGGACGCAAACTTTGCCATCGGTAATTAAGGCCCTCATAATTCCCTTAATACATAGATAACTATTTGATGACACTTTCAAAGGGATGTGACAACATGACAAGCTGGTTGATTTAATACTTTTTCGATCTTTCTGTAATTATAGTTGCTATCATATCGTTTTTTGTTTCGTAGAAATGCCAAATTTATAGTGACGAAGATAAGAGAAACTCTTGAAAATATACTGAATATAGAAATAGGTAGGTACCTACTTCCACAAAAAAGCTGAACAAGATACGAAAAAATCAATGAAATAATACTCGATTGACAAATATCGATAGATAGGAAAAATTACGTTAGATAGCTGGGAAGCATTTAGGAAAAATCTTCCATTGTTAATAGTCATCAAATAGAAAACTCTCATTGGTCATAGCTATAATCGTTATTAGGATTTGTCGACTTGTTAGTTGGTCATCAAATTATCAAGAATAAATCAAAAAGAAATCTTGCTGCGTATGGCTACCGCAAACATGGTTATTAAATACTTAAATAGTATTCAAATTACTTTTGAATAATTTGGGTGAACACTGTGGAAATGTTCTGAATATAAGAAACCTTAATTTTGTTTCTCTTTCAAGTATCACCACTTTCTATATCAATGTCTTCCTTATCCAACAGACCATCCATCTGCATTCAAAGGAATGCTATTCATGTGTAGGCAAAGTATACCTGTGAATAAGGTTTGTTAATCTGTGCCTGTGATTAGTGTTGGCAAAAAATCGAACTAAATATTAGCAATGACCAATGAGAGACTTTCGAAGACTTCTGAGGGTTGCTCGTAAGGGGGCAACCGAATGACGGATAGAACAATTTTTTTTTTAGAGTTCGCGATTTGAAGCATATGATGCTAATCTTGTAGATCTTGGCTTGGACATGACCTATATTATACTAATTAGACCGGTAATACCATAAGAGGAAAGGTCATCATTCACGACATCGAACTGGCTCTCATAATTCCGTACACCAAGTGACATTTCAGTCGATGTCATTATAGGAAGCAAAGAATATCACTAATTGTTCATTCCCACCACTCTCCAGAGTCGACGGCAAGTTTTAGCAAACACATCGTGAGAGGAAGCAAACATGTTTGCAGAGATGTTCGCAGCAAACTCCACCTTAAATTCCCAAGGAAGTGCCGCCAGATATTCATCCTTTTGAACGTCGACTGCCCGAAATCGTCATTCGTCAATGCACTATCAGACGCATTCTGCTCGGTCTCAAAACGAATAAGGCTAACAATCTTTATGGAGCCACTATTCTCAGAAGGAGAGCATCAGAATCGACACCAATTCATCTGCAAGTTATTTACCATCTCGTACAGTTTGGCTTTCTCCTATCTAATTGGAAAACAGCTAGAGTCCAACCAATCCCCAAAAATGGAATGGAATACTTGCCCAACAACTATAGGCATATTGCTCTGAAAATACTTATTTCCAAAGTCATCAACATTGAGCTTTTCAAACATCTGGAAAGCTCGGGAATTATTAATGATGGACAATATGGCTTTCGATATCGAATATCAACTATATGGCAAGCTTCATCAGAAAAACATGGGGAATTTCTGTTGTGTTAGATATACCGTAAGCATTCGACCTTGTTTGGCATCAAGGACTTCCCAACAAACTACCATCATACGACTTCTTTTATGAAGTTTTCTTTCAGGAAGATCGCTCCATGTGGTGGTGGACGGAGTATCGTCTGATACCATATAGCCATCAATTTCGTCATTCCACAAGGATCGATTTTGGCACAACCTTGTTCCTACTCCATATATCAATGATTTGTTGGGAGTAACCATACTTGCCTATCCAAAGCTTTGCAGACGATAGAGTACTAACTGTCCAAACTGCGTTCTATTCCAGAATACCATTTATGTCAAAACAAAATCGGACTTGCACAAAATGCAGATTGCCGTCTATGCATGGAAGAGGATGAAACGGCTAAATACATTTTATGTACATGCCCTTCAGCGGCCAGAATCAGATTTTCAACAGTTGGCAATACAACAGCAGGGCCAGAAAACCTGATAAATTGTTCTACCAACGTACTCCTTAATTTCCAAGAGATTAGATATACTGGGAGAAATATAACCGTTGGGTGAGCCACAATAGGTTTTTGGTCGCAGTGGAGGTCCTGACCCACTCAAGTTTAAACCTAACCTAACCTTTTTTGTCTAGGAAATCATAAGATCTTATGACGAAGGCAGATCAACGCTGTCAGATCAGATCTTGCTAAAATTACAACCTGGGGAACCAACAACCTAGTAAGTAAAATTCAACGCAACCAAAACTCAAGCCTGCATTTTCTCTAGGAAGGCGGAACTAAGTATATACCTGATATAACAATGTCTGGTATAATAATAATAATCTTGCTGTCTTCTTGCACGGTGTATGCAGTCTCGGCCTATATCCATAGACACAATGCGGCATTGCGAGTGCTCTACTATCATTTGAGGCACTCGTACGGAATAGACGGGACCCCAGTGTTGCCCTATGCTCCGGGGGATATTGAGTCCGTTGTGGAGAATGAGAGGTGCCGAATTTCTTGAAACTTCTCATTCCCCACCCTCAGGCAAATACAAGATAACAAGCCTGATGTAGTCCTCCTCGACCATCAAACCAAAGCGATTCTCGTGATCGAGTGTTCGGCTGGCGCCGTTTTGAAGGGGAAGGAGAAACGGACCAAATATAGAGATATCTTCTCTTCGAACTCCGCAGGCTCTATCCAGACCATTCTGTAGAATTGGTCATCTTGATAATCGGCTTCCTAGGAGGCACACGACATACGCTGCTCTCGGAAATCCAAAAAATCCCAGCATGCAGTGATAAGATAAGGCACCCATTCTGGCTGGTGGAATGCAGAAGGCCGTCATACTTGGATCATTGCGTTAACTATGGGACACACGGTTCTTGGTCCCAGTGGCTGTGGGGAGTAATCACTGGATTTTTATCGAGCACGAGGCCGCAGAGTCGTGACTGGAATAATATGAATTTAAATTATAATAATAATATTGAAGTGCCTTTATTCTTGGATAAAACCAATACATAGTACATATATATGATTGAAGAAAAGGCAAGGTGTCAGGTATGGCCATTACGTGAATCACACCCTCTGTTTTTCAACCTATATGTTCGGTGCTATAATACAAAATTCCCAAATTTCGTACTTTCATCTTCAATAATAAAAAAGTTATAATAGGAGTGTGTTCAGTATTCACAATTTTGTACAATTTTTTTTTTAACACGTTGAGTGTTAGGATAGTGATAAGATGGAAACAAGAAAATATATTTTTTTTTATGTATATATATTCAGAATTTGCGGTATATCTAAATACACCACGTTGACCCTACCTAAGGCTTCGCGCATGTCTGCACGAGGTACGAGAGAGAAGGAATCGGATCGTAGAGATCGAGAGATCGATTTGATAGACACGAACCTTCATCCGCCATCAGTTAATTTAAAAAAAAACGCGAATAATTTTAAGTGTCTTCCTGTAATCGAAAATAAGTGCCAGGACATCGAAACTGCCTTTATCAAGAAGAAAAAGGGGCCCCTAGTGTACCAGGCTGAAGTGAAGCTGTTGATGAATCTTTGATGAGGAAGAAAAGAAAGAAAGGTAAGGGAAAACGTGGCCGGTTTTACTTTGCAATCAATTTGAATTTGAATATCTTTGGAAATCAGCTTTTCTAAATCACACTCGTAACAGAGTGAACCAACTTATTAGAGAATCACCTGGTATGATGCATATATAGTCATGTTACAAAAAAAATTCACATACTGAAAAGCGATATTTTGAATAAATCATTTATTATTTTCACAATGAGAATCACAGATTAGATATTGTCATCTTCAGAAGGCATCTGGAGAAGTAGGAGGCTCCAGAGTGGTCGTGGTCGTAGTCGTGGTCGTGGTAGTTACAGGATGTCCTTCGCCTTCGCAAATAACATATTTTGTTTCGGTGCAGTCGCTCTTGTCCCAGGACATAGAGTTGACGGAACTGTCATAGCTTATGTTCAGGCAGTTACCGCTACCTTTGGAAGAGCCCCAATTGGTGTACGAGAAAGGTTGGCCGGTTGATGTCCAGTACCAAATGTCGCCCGACTGTACACCGGACGTCCAAAAGTCGGTGTTCACGTAGTCAACTAAAAAATAATCACAAAAAATTCATGACTTTTGGTGAAGTTGATCCACTTTGAAGTAAACAAAGTTGGTAAAACCATAGGCGAGAGGAATATTCTTTTTTCTACAAGCGTGCGTGATTCACCCTATACCCGTACGCAATTTAGTTGGGGAAGTGTCATTTTCCGCAGTAGTGCGGGAAAAACATTTATATAATAATCTTGCAAAATATGAGTGGTGGGTGGTACGATATGAAAATTTTAGTTTTTTTTGTTGCAGTTTGTACAAAATCATCCATAAAACTGCATTATTTATTGTGAATATGAAGAAATATTGAAAAATAATAATTGATTTTTAAGTAAATCCCCCTACAGCCTTCAATTGATCTGATGTGGGAAATAATTGTTGTCATGTCAATCAAAACACAAATTAGATTTTCGGCAACTTGCTCACTTCCCGGACGCTTTTTCTTTGAGAAAGTAGAATTTTTTTAAAAATTAATCAAAAACTTTTATTTAACTTGCATTGTATGTTTGTATGGATGTATGTATGTTCGGGTGGAATCTCTGAACTCAATTATGAAGTAGAAATCTTCAACCGATTGAGCTGAAATTTTGTATACACGTTCAGTTTGGATGACAATGCACGATAAGGTATGTCACGTTATTCTGAATCCAATATGGCGGACTAATCGGACTATCCAAGATGGCGGAATAGCTATTTTTGATATACTTTTACAATATGGGTATCAAATGAAAAGGCTCGTTGAGAGTAACTCGAAAAATGATGTGACGTCATTCTGAATCGAATATGGCGGACCATCCAAGATGGCGGAATGGTAATTTTTAATCTACTTCTACAATATGGGTATCAAATGAAAGGGCTCGTTGAGAGTAATTCGAAAAATAATGTGACGTTATTCTAAATCCAATATGGCGGACCATCCAAGATGGCGGAATAGCTATTTTTAATATACTTCTACAATATGGGTATCAAATGAAAAGGCTCGTTGAGAGTAACTCGAAAAATGATGTGACGTCATTCTAAATCCATTATGGCGGACCATCCAAGATGGCGGAATGGTCATTTTCAATATACTTCTACAATATGGGTATCAAATGAAAAGGCTCGTTGAGAGTAAATCGAAAAATCCAGCTAGCGATAACTAAAAATTAAAAAATGAATTAAAAGTAAAAAAAAAACTTTTTAATAAAAAGCTTTTATTTAAACGCTCTAAAAAGAAGAAAATAAAATTTTTCCTAATAATTTTAACTATCAACTTATAACCTCATCAAACACAATTTATATGATCATAAAAGCTTGTCGCGCGATTCACTTGTGTGAATGAACTAGTACTTATTTAATTATGTAAAATCTGCTGAGATAAAATTTTCAAAATTACAATTTAATTAAATATTGATCATCGCGACAAGCTTTTATGGTTATAAGTTGATAGTTAAAATTATTAAGAAATATTTTATTTTCTTCTTTTTAGAGCGTTTAAATAAAAGCTTTTTATTGAAAAGTTTTTTTTCACTTTTAATTTATTTCCGGCTTAGTCCGGGAATTATCACATCGTTGTTGTCACTGTTACTATGAAAATCTTGGTAGATATGGTATTGATAAATGTAGGTGATAATTACCATAGCATCGAAATATCGGCTGACAGCTATTTGACATGAAATTAGTTGACATTTTGATTTTTGAAAGTTTGGTTGCAATTATCGCAATAAACTATCGAAAGCAGCTGCGATAGTGAGTTTGAAAATGTCAATACGAAATTTCCAATGTAACAGTTAGTAGGTATAGGTATTCTGTTCAAATTGCAGTATTTGATACAAATAAGAATTAATAATGAAGACATTGTATTCTACAATGAAATATAATATGGAAATGTGTCTCATTGATTAGTTATTCTACATGGTTGCCGAAAAAATAGTGTACGGAACACGTCCAAAACAGTTTTTTTGGACTCGCAGACTACCAGGACTCGCCTACGGCTCGGACTAGAATTTTGACTACTCGTCCAAAAAACAGTATTTTCCGGACTTCAGAGTGACAGACAGAGCGTTACTGTCGTTTTCATTCAATGGAATTGCGTTTAAAAGCTTCCAGCTACGATGCGATACAGATGAGTTATTGCCAACGAAGTCTTATGAAAGGTATGAGAAGCACCACACGGGATTTATTGAATGGTGCAATAGTAAAAAAGTGAAAACACCAAATGAAGAAGAAGTATTTTTGGCTGATTTCCTAGAAATATGTCTGAAACCTAGAGGCCAAACACCATGGGCATGCTTCGAACGGTACACACAATAGATATATCACTAATTATTAGAAGATAGAGAATATATCACTATTGTTAGTTGTTCCTATTTGCAGGAATAATTGATTGAACAAATCAATCAATTTCCTACGCTTGTAGAAAAATATTGTTCCTAACTCATGCGGAAAGTGTCTGCGGGAAAGTATCACTTTCCGCACTTTTTAGGAAAATTACTATTATGCACAACCATAATATGTAATGTTGTCATTACTAACGTCATTGAAGGTTGGAAAGTGTCACATTACATACCTCTACTTCCCGCCCTCAATTATGTAATATTTTAGGTTTGTTCAGAACGAAACAGAGATTTATTAATTTTGATCGAAATATGATGGTATGGTTGTGAATAAAATAGTATACAAACCTCGGTAGGAATAAGTTTCATTCCTGTCTCGAGATCATAGCTAACCTCTACGCTTTGCGTCTAGGTTAACTAACTAATCTCACGACAAGAATGAATCTCTTTCCACCTCGGTTTGTAATAAACTATTATTAAGATTTGTATCTTCACTTCTTCCAATTTTAGTTCAAAAATGGCCAATTGTATTTCCATATTGTCATTTGGATTTTAAAAAGCATCATTTGTATTTGAAATTAGTCAATTATTTAATTTCTAAAAGTATCAAATGTACTTCAAAATTATCAATTCAATTTCAAACTACGTCATTTGCATTTCAAATTAGTAATTTTAATTTCAGAAAAAAAAACTATTCTAATTATCGAATTGATTTTAAAAACTAACACTTCAAATTCCAAAATAGTAATTTGTATTTCAAATATATTTCATAATGCATCATTTGAATTTAAAAACTGAAAAAGCACAGGCAAAGGTTAGATTGGCTTTAGGTGATATTTTCATTCACTATGTTATTGAAATGCGTCTGGCTTCTGGTTCCTGTCATTGTGGCATCATCAATAGAAATGATTAGTTTTAAAATGGAAATAATGGATTTTGAAATTGAAATGTAATTTTTTGAAAATTAAATGACTAATTCGAAATAAAATTGACGCATTTTGAAATCGATTTGAAAACTTTGAAATACATTTTTGATACTTTTTGAAACTAAAATGACTAATTTGATATACATTTTGAAATTGTAATGATAATTTTGAAATACTTTTGATACTTTCTGAAATCAAAATGACTGATTTGAAATACAATTGATACTTTTTGACTTTACTGTAACTAGACGCTTCTTGAACTAAAATTGTAGTTCCTCAGTCTAATTTCAATCAACTTCTCCAGATAAAATTGAAGTAGCAACGTTAGTTTTTTATCCATTTATAGAAGATAGGAACAAAAAATTTATATTAGTCAGGTATAAAACATATTCTGAGAAATCGATTGAATAATGAAGAACTGACAATATTGTACTTATCTCAACTTACCCAGAGAAGCAATGGTGTCAAACAAATAATCATTTTCTCTCTTGCTTTGAACATCAACCAATTCCATATTCAGATTTTTGCAAAATAATTCACCTTGTTGCTGTGTCGCCTACATGCAAAACAATAATTGTGATTAGTTATTGTATAATCTGTTACATTTTGACAAGGTAACGCCCATATCATTTACACAATTTCAAGCATTCAAAATTTTGAGATGCAATTCAAAGAAATGTTCAACGTTTCTAAGAAACCGTGTGTGTGCTTAGAAGGTCTAAATTGTTCAACTTCCATTTTATATAGATATTCTCTGACATAAACCAAAGAAATGTGTAGTAATAAACTATTGTTCTAATTTTGACATGTGAATTGACACTTTTCAAAAGCTTACTTGATATTCAGTCGTCATTGGTCTTACTTTACGCAGATAATCTCTCCCCATCTCTGCTTTACGTAACCATAGTTGCGTAAAGTAAAATATTACATAACTGGTGAAGAAATGTTCATTTCAACATCAGTTACATAATAAAAATATGGGTGGACGAAGAGACTGGTGCATTTTGTGCTTCATCCTCAATATCACTTGAGAAATATCAACTTCAATCAGTCATTTTCCACTAATTCGTGAATTTTTGTTCGACGAATTCTTCAAAGTGACGGGCGAAGTATCAAATTGCCTACTAAATTTTGTACATAATCGGTAGAACTCATGTCGAAATGATGCTCATAATTTCTGTTCAGGCGAAATTTCTCATAAAAATTATAAAAAATATCGTACCAAAATGTTGTACCTAACTATAGTTAGGAAATACATTTTGTGTTAATTATGTGTTAAATCCCATCGTTGCACAAAATGACGCGTTTCCTAACTGGTCACGTAAATAGCTATTCCTTGAACTAAAATCACTATTTTTTACTCACCCTAAAGAATTTCTGGAAGTAGTAGGCACTGCTGTCGAAATAATACAACGGTAGTTCTGGAGCAGCTAAATCATTTCCTGATTCCGCTGAAAGTCAGAAATTGATTAAATGTTTTCTTAATTCGAAGCAAACGATTATATATAACTAGTAATTGTAAAAATAGTACCCATTTATGTCGTGATATTACTAAATATAAAAAAGTATCTGTTCAAAATATTGAGATTTACCTTCTGGAACAGCATAACCAGAGCCTACGTGGAATATGTAGAAACAGAGAAGTGCAATTTTGAAAACCATTTTCCCTGGAATAGTTTGCGGATTATAATGTATCTGTGTGTGTCTGTGTCAGCTTTCTATCCTTTTTATACCAATAGTTCATTATCTAGATAATCTGGAATCTGAAGTGTACTATTCAAATGATAGAAAAATGTTAGGTAGGTGGGCTAGATGATATCATCGATGTAGGATTTTTTAGGTTCAAAATGGTTCAAACTCGGAATTGTTTCGTTTAATTGTGAAATTAATTAATTAATAATTTCTATAAGTAGGTGGAACTCATCTTTTTACCTATACAATTTTGTTTTTACAACGTATAGGTTGGTATATTTATATAGGTTCTTTATTTTTGTTAATAAAATGTATATTTTGTTCTATGAAAATAATTGCAAAATAAACAAAATGTACTTATTCATCTGACAAAAGTGGTATTTTTTACAGTTGCAGTTACAAAGATAATCAAATCACTCAATATTTTGTCGAAATAATATTATTTCTTGCTTGCCACCCCTCTGAAAGGATGATGTAGATGGGATTCTATCAATCCAACACTACATAGTGATGAATATTATTGACCTTTGATATACGAGGAACTATAAGATAGTGTTGCCTAGCAACATACGCATTTTACTGAGAATAAACATCAACTTCAATAATCAATTCTGATTAGAAACGATCAATAAAACGTTGGAGTACCTCAATTTCTAGGTCCTGTGTAGGTTGACCTTTAATCCTAATATATAAGAGTGTTGCCTAGCAACAGACGCATTTTACTGATAAACATCAACTTCAGTGATCAATTCTGGTAGTAACGATCTATATTTTAGTTAAAAAATTGCTCAAAATGCCTCAAAGTTTAGGTCCTATAAATGAATGTTCAACCTTTTATCCTAGGAACTGAGAGTGTTTCGTAGCAACAGACGCATATCACTGAGAAATAACATCAACTTCACTGATCAATTCTGGTTAGGAACGATCAATAACAAATTGCATTGCTACTGCCTAAATTTTTAGGTCCTATAAAGGTTCATAATTAATCCTACTCAGAGTGTTGCCTAGCAACAGAGTCATTTTACTGAGGAACATCAACTTCAATGACCAATTCTGGTTGGGAACGATAACGACAGTGCCGGATTTAGGGGGGGGCTATGGGACTATCAGTCCCCGGCGGTGAATTTCAAGAGGCGGTAGAGAAAAAGAGGAAAGAGGAAAAGCAAGCAGCAATACAGTCATTGACTGGTTGAGATACTGTTTTTGTGAAAATCATAAGATGCACTAATCTAGCGTCAGTTGTGTCTTGGACGCTACAATACAAAAGCGGCGGCGGTACATGCTTTTATATGATGATGTGAAGAAAAACCGCCTTCGACCCAGTAGAGTAGGGGTATTTCGTGATTCGTCTAACTCAATAACAAAAAACAAAATCAGAGTTCAGTATTTAATAGGTTGTCGTTGGTAATGGTACTAATAATAAATATTGAAACTGAAATTTAAAAAAGATGCGTAAAAAAGAAGGTGGTGTATTCTGGAAACGACAGAAGATCAATAAACAAAAGCAGTTAGACGAAATTGTCAAGAAATGCTCTAAAATACATTCATTTTTTCTAAATTCGAATGAGACAGAATCAGAACTGACAGAATAACCGTCTCCAAGAACCTCACGATCTCAAGACGGGAATTGTAAGTTTTATATTTTTTTACATTCAATACCCCAAAAAGAAGAGTTAGAATCTCAAAAATGAATGATCGAGATATGAACACCACTAGGTGATGTTTCAGGGATAATCACAACAAATTCCTAATTCATTGATTATGGGCAATTACTTAGAATTTTTTTACTATCCCTGATGATTAGTAATGCCAGTAGTGAAAGGTCATCCTCAACTTTAAAAAGAGTGAAAAACTTACTTAGGAATTCCATGGTAGAGGATATATTGAATATCTTATCATTATATCATTTTCAAATATTAACAGTGACATGTTATTAAATCTGAATTTTGATGATGCCACTGACGACTTTGCATCAAAAAAATCAAGAAAAGTATTTTAGTATTCATCTGAAAAAAAATATTTGTTGTTTGTTGTTATGTTTAACGTGTGAAGTAAATATAATTTGATTCGTTGTAAAAAATGATTTCATGTTATTGTTATATGCTGTTAAAGAAGTAGTATTTGAATTTTGAAACTGATAATTGAAAATTAAATATTTGGCGGCGGCGCGGCGGCATCGTAAAAGTTAGCCCCCGGCGTAAGGGAGTATGAATCCGGCACTGGATAACGATCAATATCAAATTGCATTGCCTCAATTTCGAGATCCAATAAATTAAAATTCAACATTTGATCCTAGGAACTCTAAATGTTGCCTAGCAACAGACGCATTTTACTGGCGTCAATTTTGAGGTTCTATAAATTCAAGTTCAATCTCTTATTCTAGGAACTAAGAGTGTTGCCTTGCAACAGATGCATTTCACTGAGAAAAATCATCTTCAATGATCAATTCTGGTTCAAAACTATCAGTAGTGAAAGAAAGCAGTACTTTTATAATTATATTTCAAAATGTAACACAGGTAGTATAACAAAAGATATATTTCATGATATACAATATTCATTTCGAAGAGATAATTTCAGCTTCGCAAATAACATAAGATCGTTGATTTGAACAATCAGTGGCGTTCCAGAACATTGTTATATTCGAACTGCTATAAATAACTTGAAGACAATTGCCGTTTCCTCTGGGTCCATTCCAGTTAGTATACGAAAAAGGTTTTCCTGTAGATGTCCAATACCATACATCTTCAGTTTTCACTCCAGAAGTCCAGAAATCACTGTCCTTGAAACCAACTGAAACGATATATAATCATAAATTCATTGGGTGGGCAAAATAGTTTATTATTCAACTAATTCCGCATTTTTCTGTGTTACTGGAATGGCGATTGAAAGTATAAAAACCATAGGTATAGTGAGTCTTTCGAATTTGATAAGATGATGGGATTCATGTTACAATATTACTCAATCGTACTGTCATTATTACTGAATTCACAACAGCAATGGCTGTCATTAATTGTTGAAAATCAAGTAAGCAATGAATGATTTCGATATTTGTTGATAAGTAAGTTCTATACACTGTGTCCTACCCTGAGTATGAATGTTGTAAGAAGGTATATATATCCGTTGAACAGCCAAGAATATTTCGCGGGTGCTATGGTGTAAAACAATAAAAATTCTTTGATTTGAAATGGGGTATATAGGCGTGTTAGATTTCCACTAAAATAACTTTGAGGATATCTATTATTCATAATAAATATTCATTTGACTATTGGGAACCATAATTAAGAACAAAATATTTGTATGTTTCTAATTATTGAATTGATTTTTTTTGTAAATTGCATGAATGGAAGAATATACTGAGTGTCGTACCTCATATGAGGAGGCCTCTCTTGCAAAACTGGTTATATCCACTTTTTACCGTTCTGGCATCAGTTTCGTGAGCTCTATCGCCTGGTGCATTGATTTGTGTACAAAACGAGCTATATTCAACCAGAGATTATACACACCCCTATAATCTCTGATTCAACTGTAATCGTTGCCTGAAACTTAGCTTTTGGAGCAAAATCAGATATATCCTTGAATTTGCAAGCAAAACCGGTAATATCCATATACTGTGCGGGCTCGAGCCCAATGTAAAGGAATCGATGGTACCATAGATCTAATTACACGAAGATATTGAAGTAGATGAAAATGTAGAGCACAAGTGAAAATATATATTTTTCATCGAAATTTCTCCGATTTTGGTGCAAAACAAGATATATCCATTATTTTTTTCTGTATATTGATCTGGATTTTCAATTAAATTCATCCAAAAGTGATTCATTCTATTCATTATCCAAATTCTAATCCATCTACGGTGAAATTTATTTGCATATTTGAATAAGGCAACAGATTGCAGACGTTTATCTCGTTTCCAGTGGATATGTATCTGGTTTCCTCATGTAGGATAGTTGTTGGTCTTGAATGCGTAACGTTCCTAAACGTTATATAGTGGTTTCATGGGTTTTTGTGGGTTTTCCTCATGAATTATATTGAGAATATTGAAGTAAGAACAACTCTTTTTGTCAATTTCATAATTTCCAATATAAGTAGATGCATCACTATTTATTTTCTCACGAAATGAAATCAATTGATCGAATTTCTATTTCATTTTACCAATTTTTAGTAATTGAAAAACATTCAAAACGATTAGATAACCTCAAAATTGATTTCGAAGTTTCTATTATTTTCACTCAATAAATGTGAATAGATATAAAACTGATGAAATCAGCTCTTCAGGAAGAATCTGAAAAAGCAATAAAATACAGGGTGTTCTATTTGAAATAACAAAGTTGCTAGTTGTTTCTGATAGAAGTGGCAACACTGTATCGATGGAAATATTTTAGACGGATAGAGAATGTTCAATTATCAGAGCATCCCAATTTTCAAAATGTTCTGACTTTTCGTTCTCCAGATACTTCCAATAGGCCATCCACCGTGGATCACTCTGTATAGTCATTATACTCAAATGAAAAAACACTTACCCAGGTCACCAATGGTTTGGAACAGAAAATCATTTTCTGCTCTGCTTTTAATGTCCACCATCTCCATTCGCAAGTCTTTGCAGAAGACTAGAACTTGGTCACGTGTTGCCTAAGAATTCGAAAACTTAGTCGAGAACGTTGTCACATTTTTGACTGGAGAAATTCACGAAGTCGTTAAATTAAAAGACTCCAGTAGATACTTACTCTGGAAAACCTTTCGATGTAATAAGCCCTGCCACCAAATGTATACAGAGGTAGCCCAGGAGTTCCATGACGCAATCCTGAAAATGGTTATTAACGTACAGTCGTCTTCAGAGAACATGTCGCACATGGACGGGTGTCAGCTCTCTCAATCACCCCTGCAATAAGAGCGCGCATACCGTCCAACCACGACATGTTCACTGAAGACGAGTGTACAAGGCCGATATGTAGCAAATGTCGGATGATATTGAATATTCCGAGGCGCAGCCGAGGATAATAACAACCGAATTCGTTATTTGCGTACCTATCGGCCGTGTGTCGTTCGA